TTTATTTCATTGAGTTGATCTTCAGTCTCTGATATCCTTTCTTCTGCTTTTGCCTTCTCATTTTATTTCATTGAGTTGATCTTCAATCTCTGATATTCTTTTATCTGCTTGATCAATTTGGGTATTGAAACTTGTGTGTGCTTTACAAAGTTCTTGTGCTGTGTTTTTCAGCTCCATCAGGTCGTTTATATTCTTCTCTGAACTGATTATTTTAGTTAACATTTCATCTAACCTTTTTTCAAGGTTCTTAGCTTCCTTGCATTGGGTTAGAACATGCTCCTTTAGCTTGGAGAAGTTTGTTATTACCCACCTTTGAAGCCTGCTTCTATAAGTTCATCAAACTAATTTTCTGTCCAGTTTAGTTCTCTTGCTGGCAAGGAGTTGTGATCCCTTGGAGGAGAAGAGGTGTTCTGGTTTTTGGAATTTTCAGCCTTTTTGCGCTGGTTTCTTCCCATCTTCATAGATTTATCTACCTTTGGTCTTTGAAGTCGGTGACCTTTGGATGGGGTCCCTGAGTGGACGTCCTTTCTGTTGATGTTGAAACTATTTCTTTCTGTTTCTTTGTTTTCCTTTTAACAGGTCCCTCTGCTGCAGGTCTGCTGGAGTTTGCTGGAGGTCCACTCCAGACACTGCTTGCCTGGGAATCACCAGCAAGGGCTGCAGAACAGCAAGGATTGCTTCCTGTTCCTTCCTCTGGTAGCTTCATCCCAGAAAGGTACCTACCAGATGCCAGCCAGAGCCCTTCTGTGTGAGGTGTCTCCCAGTCAGGACACACGGGGGTCAGCGAGACACTTGAGGAAGCAGTCTGTCCCTTATCAGAGCTCAAACCCTGTGTTTCCTGTGCTGGGAGATCTGCTGCTCTCTTCAGAGCTGTCAGGCAGGGACGTTTAAGTCTGCTGAAGCTGTACCCATTACCACCCCTTTTCCCAGATGCTCTGTCCCAGGAAGGTGGGGGCTTTATTTATACGTCTGCTGCCTTTTTTTTTAGAGATGGCCTGTCCAGCGAGGAGGGAGTCTAGTGACATAGCCTGCCTGCAGAAGCCTTGCTCAGCCGCTGTGGGCTCTACCCAGTTTGAACTTCCCAGCAACTTTGTTTACACTGTGATGTTAAAACTGCCTACTCGAGCCTCAGCAATGATGGATGCACCTCCCCCCACCAAGCTTGACTGCCCCAAGTCAAGGTCAGACTGCTGCGAGAATTTCAAGCCAGCGGATCTTAGCTTGCTGGCCTTTGTGGGGGTGGGACCCACCGAACCAGATCACTTGGCTCCCTGGCTTCAGCCCCTTTCCAGAGGAGTGAATGGTTCTGTCTCACTGGCATTCCAGGTGCCACTGGGGTATGAAAAAAAAACTGCTGCGGCTAGCTTTGTGTCTTCCCAAACGGCCACCCAGTTTTGTGCTGGAAACACAGGGCCCTTGTGTCATAGGCACTGGAGAGAATCTCCTGGTCTGTGCGTTGTGAAGACTGTGGGAAAAGCGCAGTATCTGGGCCAGAGTGCGGGGGATAGTCCCTAATGGATTTCCATGGCTAGTAGAGGGAGTTCCCCAGCTCCTTGTGCTTCCTGCTTTGGCTCGCCCTCCTTGGGCTGCACCCACTATCTAACCAGTCCCAATGAGATCAGCCAGGTACCTCAGTTGGAAATACAGAGGTCACCTGCCTTCTGCATTGATCTCGCCGGGAGCTGCACTATTTGGACATCTTGCCATTAAACTATTTTAAATTGCAATGATAGTGTTTATTTATGTTAGGCATTGTTCTAATGCTTTATAAAATTTAATCTGCACAGAAGACCTATGATTATCCCTAATTTACAGAAGAGGCTGAGGTGCAGAGAAGTTGAGTAATTATCCCATAGTTACACAGTAGCAGCTCTAAGATTTAAACACATAAATCCTTCCCAACCATGGAAGTTTATTGATTCCTTAATAGTGGTTTGGTTAAAATTGGGATCTCACCATAGCATAATATATATCCAGGCTACAAGTCTTTATTTTTTAAAATTTTTTGAGTTGGAGTCTCACTCTGTCACCCAGGCTGGAGTGCAGTGGTGTGATCTTGGCTCACTGTAGCCTCTGCCTCCCAGGTTCAGATGATTCTCCTGCCCCAGCCTTCAGAGTAGCTGGGATTACAGGTGTGCACTACCAAGCCTGGCTAATTTTTGTATTTTTAGTAGAGACAGGGTTTTGCTATGTTGGCCAGTTTGGTCTTGAACTTCTGAGCTCAGGTGATCTGCCTGCGTTGGCCTTCCAAAGTGCTGGGATTACAGGTGTGCAGTACAGTGCCCGGCCCAAGTTACAAGTCCTTAAAGGAAATCACATAAACTCTAAACTATTCCATTTAGATAACACATATTTATATCCACAAGTTAGGGAGCACATGGAAAACATGCTTTGTTCTGTGTGTTTTCTGTCCCCTGCACCTGCCACCTCACCCTCCAGCATACCTTCTTATGCTGCTACATACTTGCTGATGCTCAGGCTGGGCACGGGCTTTGGGGTTGGACAAGCATCAAGATCAGTTTATAGCAAGATTTGGGAGAGAAAAATCACTTAAGGTGAAAGTCACTTACTTTGGGAAATTTTCCTTCTTGAATGATCTGTTAATTGGTCAATAGACACAGCTTCTGGCCCCTCTTAGCACTGCCTAGGCGCTTGTGACACATTTGCTTGCAAATATGCTTTCTAGCAGTAGGAGTACATTTTAGTTTATAGTTTTAATCCTCATAATGTAGCGGGAAATCAGAGATCTGGAGAGACCGATGGGGTTGCAGGAGGATTTTATTTAACATGATCATGGGCTTAGCAGAATTGCTTCCTAATTCTGAGTAAAGGACAAAGAAAATGGGTTATTTTTTGTGCACCTAAGATGAAGCAGCAGGTACAGAAGCCAGAACAAAGAACAGTTAATCACTTGTGACATGTACTTTGCATTTGAAAAGTAACATTTTGAGAAACACATTCCTCAGTTTCTATCTGCTCTGTGACCTTGCAGCTGGTCAGCAAGAAAAACAGGAATTTCTAGATGCCTGGGAACTTGGCTAAGAATGTGAGGAGGATAGATAAGGGTTAAATGGTTTGCAGGAAGGCAGTTTAATATTCTGTCTTAAACAGAGCCGGGGAAGTATTACAGTACACAACACCACAAAATTTGTTATATAGCACCTACAAATTATAAGGTTTTGTTTTACTATCATTGCTGTGATTTAATTTCTTCATTTTTCACCCTTTGTTGCCTTTTAATAAATAACATTTCAATAGAAAGCAACACCACTAATTTAAGCATCTAAGTTACTATTACCTTTAGAGGTATGCCATTTTTGGTTTGTTTTTTTCTTTCCTTATTCCCTTCTTCTTTTCTTTTTTGGTTTAATCTGATTGGTGTTTTAATAAGCTTATTTACCAAATTTATTTAAGTATATCTATGACCTTGTAGCTGAATGTCAGGGTGGAAGAGTTAATCAAGAGTGTTGTAGAGCCTTTCAATGAAAGCATTTAAGAGCGCCTTTATACTTTTACTGGATGATTGACAGCAGGCTAGTGTGTCAGCTCATGATGAATGTATTGCATTGAGTTAGATTCTTTTAGGTTGGGAGCTCCTCTCCTGCCACGAAAGGCACAAAATTAACTCTACCTTAGCTCCTGAGGGTACCTTCAGGACTGTGCCTGTCTTAGGCTGTCCCTCCCCTGAGGAATCTTACCCTTCTTTGGCTAACCAGTCATCTGCATGAGGCCAACCAAGGCAACAGTTGGAAGGTCAGAAGGCTCTTGGGGGCTGACCCGCAGAGCATTGTGGGTCCAGGAACAGAGCTATTACTCACCTTTAAGTTGCTTCCTTGTTGAGTTGCCTGCTTGGGAAAGATTATTACTAAGGATTTTTGCACTCTTAATACTTGCTTTGTTTGAGCTTGTTCCATCCAGACATTTGCTACCAGTGGGTTTAGCTAGATGAACATGCCTTACATAAGCCCATAGAAAGCATCATTAATATACATGTCATTTTGAGGTAATTCCATTTTTTCTTGAGGTACAGGCTGGTACGTAGTTAATACCATTAATTGACTGGTGGTTTACTTGGCTACTATTGCTTCTATAGTTGACCAAATACTTCCAATTAGGAGAGGTAAGAGACAAGGAAGTATTAGGTATCCTCCTAATATGATGACTACTCAGACTATCAGGGTTTTAAAACCTTCAAACCATGAGAATCATCCTCCAAAGAGGGAATCTGGTGACCCCCCTTTCCATGTCTGAACTGGAACATGAGCTAGTTTTTGCATCCTGGCTGTAATTTCCGTGACTGCTTGTCCATTATTATTAATTTCTAGGCAGCAGTTTGATAGGTTAAATTTTTCACATACCCCTTCTTGGGCTAAGAGATAATTTAAAGCTAGTCTGTTTTGGTAAATGGCATTCCTCATTTTTGTGGATTGTACAGCCAACAGGTTTAAAGCTTGTGCAGTTTCATTGGTAATGATTTCAAGTACTGCTTGTAACCTTATAATGCGATTGAGCATATAGATAGGAGTACGATATCCCCATTACCCGTCTTGTGCTCAGGTAGCTGGCGCATAATATTGAATAATTCTTTCAGAGGGCCAATCAGTGTCTTTCCAGTCTCCTATTTTTATACCTCCTCTGATATCCACACTTGTTGTACTTCTGTTTCCCACTTCATTATAAGTAGAGTAACCTAGAAGTTTTCCCAGCTACTAGGGGAGCAAAAAGGAGGATGGTCTGATAGTCCCTAGTACGCAAGCCCTTGTCCAATTGGCTGGTAACTGCTAATAGGCTGGTTGTCTGCAAATCCAATAAAGGCCAGGGGATGCCTGCCAACTATTGGGTGCCTTAAACTGATACCAGGAGTGGTTTAAAGCTGGGAAGCAAGAGAATGAGTTGTAGCGTGGCAATCTGGAGTTAACTTTAGCTTGTTTATTCCTGCCCCGCCACAAAGTTTTCCCTACTGTTTGGTTGTAGTATTTCTGCTCTAGACAAGCCAGTTCTCCTACTGGATTAATGAAAGTGTTTCCCCAGTGGGCAATACAGTACTTCCCAACAATGGAAGTTTTTAGGAGCCAAATACTTGAGTGCTTAAGTGTAGGCTTGGGAGGGGTGAGGGTCAAGGTAAAGTTTTATTGAGGCATTAACTCTTTTGCATCCCATGGCCATTGATTTCCCATGATAATGCCTCCACAGACATAGCAAGAAGAAACAGCTAGATTATTAGCTATACTTTTAGCCAGTTGAACAAACAGATTACTGGCTACTGGAGGGGGTTCAAAAACCTCCTGGTTAGTTCTTTTATAGTTTTCATAAAATGACTTGAAAACTTGGAACTGAGGTTGAGGGGGATGGGCCCGAGTTCCCTTTTTGATAATATACAAATGGGTGATTGGGAATGTTTCTGTAAACACCATTATGGGGTGACCTTAGTCCACGTGGGTAAATCTGGCTTTGGGATAGTAAGCTTTATAGGATTGCAGGTTTTTGTTTCACAGTTTGGCTTTGTTGGCATTTCGGTAAGCACAACTGGTTCCTGATGCTCCCGTTTAGGAACGTGTTGTGCAGTACCTATAATCCCTTCCCGGGGTCCCAGGGGAGCAAAGTGGAGCAACTTTTGGCCCACACACATACGAAGTTTGCTATGTCTTTCCCAGGTTGGGTTACCACAGTTAGCAGAGTAGGCTATGCCTGAGTATGTTGCTTGGCAGGCATCGAAATGCAAAGGAAATGCTTCCTCATGGAAAGGTGGGACCTCAGTTCTGTTTAGGAGAGGACCTTCTTTTGACTCCCTTTGTATTTCAAACCCGATCCCAGGCACAGATTTGGGGTCGTAACATACATAAAGTTGCTCATTGCCTGGGTTACCAACTGAATAAATTATTGGATTATAAGTACAAGCGCCTAGCTGAGTCCCTGTACACTTATAATATGTTGGATACAGCAAGGTCTTAACTACTGTATTCCTAAATTCAAGTAGTCTACAGGCAGTAAGTACATTATTTTACCGGTTGCGGTTCCTTTTGTACAGATACTGAAGTTAACAATAGTAGAATAAAAATTAACATATCTATACCACTATGCAGGGGCAGGGTAAATCTTTCCTTGGATGTAAGGGTTGGCAAAGATGACAGCATAGTGATAGAATAGATAAGAACACTAAGATTGCAATTAGACTTAAAATTTCAGTCCATATTTATTTTTGATGATTCCTTAAGCTTCAGCCATGCCTGGACTGGTCAGCCTCTGGTGGTGTGACTAGAGCAGGGCTGTCACCTTCATTGACACTTTGGTCTCATCTCAGGATTAGCCTTTGCTCACTGGTCCACTTCTGGGCTGCTGTGGGTTTTAACCGGCTATGATGAATCCAGGGCACACTGCCTGCAGCCGTAACAGCAGTCAGGGTGGACAAAATTACAATATGGGGCTTATCCCAAGTTGGCCCTAAAGTAGTCAGGTTCCACTTTTTAACCCAAACCGAGTCTCCAGGTTTGAAGGGATGTCCAGGGTCTGTTGGGCTGATAGGTAATTTTTCTTGAACCCAACCTCATATTTCTTGCATAGTTATGCCTAAGGCCTGTATTTGCTTTCTTAGGGTTAATTCTCCTAACCCTCTCATTTCCCCTTTAATTTGGGTGATGATTGATTGGTGGTGGCTGGCAGAACAGAATTTCATAGGGTGAATACCCAGTCTGTTTGGTGGGAATGTACCTGATTCGGAGGAGGACCATGGGCAAGACCTGATCCCATCGCAGATGGGTTTCCTGGCAGAATTTCTTTAATAGGTTGTTTGAGCGTTTGATTTATATGCTCAGCTTTTCCTGGGCTCTGTGGGTGATAGGCAGTATGCAATTTCCAGTTTATTTTCCATAGCCATTGTAGGTCTTGGACAATTTCAGCTACAAATGCTGGGCCATGTCTAATCCTACAGTTGAAAGTAGGACAAATCTGGGGACAATATCTTTTAATATTCTAGTTACTTCTCATGCCTTTTCTGTTTTAATGGGGAAAGCCTCTACCCAACCCAAGTAGGTACAGACAAACACTAACGTAGAGCGATAGCCTCCTGCCTGGGGCAACTCTGTAAAATCTACAAGCAAATTTTCACAAGGTGCTGACCCTACTCCTTGAATTCCTGGGGGCTGGGTTGGCCCTTGCTGTGGGTTGTTCTGGGCACAGATTAAGCATTGTTCACAAACGGCTTGGGAGATGACAGTAAGCCGTGGCACATACCAGTGGCACCCTGCTAGCATTTCTAGTGCTGTCTTTCCCGTATGAGTTCCTTGGTGGAATTGTTTGACAAACCGGGGGGCTGTTACTTCAGGAATAGCTAACCTTCCATCTGAGAATTTCCACTGTCCTTCTTTAGTATAGGTTCCATTTTCTTGAGCAAACCAGGCCTTCTTATTTGGGGAGTAATTTGGCTCCTCTAGAGTCAAGAGTTCTGGGAGGAGAGGCATGGCACAGACTGCCTTTCTAGCTGCTATACTAGAAGGTAGGGTATTTATTGCTACACTCCTAGCTTCTGCATCTGCTTTCCTGTTTCCTTTGGCCTCTGGGGTTCCACCTTTCTGATGACCTTGGCAGTGTATAACAGTTATCTCTTTTGGTTCCCATACAGAGTTGTAAGATCTCTTCTGGATATTGTACACTTGTTCCTTGGGCAGTTAAGAGTCCTGTGTATTTGTATTTGCTCCTATGTACATGCAGTGTACATAGGAGCATATACAAATACATACTTTGAGTCGGTTTATATGTTGGCTTTTTTACCCTTAGCTAGCAACAGTGCTCTTGCTAAGGCTATTAATTCTCCTTTCTGGGCTGGTGTTCCTGTAGGCTTTGGGCCTCTGCAATTGAAACTAAAGTTACAACTGCATATCCAGTCTGCCTGACTCCTTCTGTTACAAAGCTGCTACCATCTGTAAATTATTCAACATCAGCATTTTGGAGGGGGCGATTTGTGAGATTTTTCCTGCTGGAGAAAACTCCATCTACTGTTTCTATATAGTCATGAAGGGGACCTCCTGGCTGCAGTGGGAGCAAGGTAGCAAGGTTAAGAGTGTTTACAGTTTCTAAAGTTATATATGGAGATTTTCACATAAGGGTCCCTGGTGTTGGGTCATTCTAGGATTTGACAGCCAGTGATGCCCTCTTTGATCCATTAGCATTAGGACAGATGGTGGCACTCATACAGTTAACTGCTGTTCTAAGGTCTATTTTTAGCTTCCTGTATGAGCATGGCTGCAGCGGCAAGGTCATTAAAGCAGGGCGGCCATCCCTGAGCTACTGGGTCCAGTTGCTTAGATAGGTAGGCTATTGGGTGGTGCCATGATCCTGGAATCTGAGTTAAGACCCTGATAACCATTCCCTTTCACTCATGAACGTATGGGAAGAAGGGCTTAGTTATGTGTGGTGGTCCTAAGGCGGGGGCCCTAACTAGAGCTGTTGTGATTGCATTAAATGTTTTTTTCGCTCAGGTCCCCAGATGACGGGTTCCTCCCCCTACCCACCCCCCCCCCCAACGCTTTGGTGGCTTCATATAGCAGTTTTGCCTATGGCAAAACTCTGCTGCCCCTAGGATCTCTCTTACTTGTTGGCAGGTTGCGGTTAGAATCCTACACAGCTTCTTTGTGTGCACTACCTAGCATACTCTGCTCTTGGCAAGTATGTGATGCTCCCACAACAAATCTGGGCTTTTTTTGTGGATACTTTATACCCTGTCTTCTGTAGAAGGTGGAGGAAGTCTTGAGTTCCTTTGTGACAATCTTCTAAAGTGGGGGCTGCTAAAAGAAGATCAGCAGTGGAGTGTAGGCATTAAGGTCAGATGCTAGGGCCTCACTGAAGATCGTGGGGGAGTTCAGTGTCCTTGGGGATGCCTGGTCCAAGTAAGTTGGAAACTTCCCCCTTGAAAAGCAAATAAGGGTTGACTGACTGGTGCTAGGTGAAGGCAAAAGAAGGCATCTTTTAAGTCTAAAACAGTGAACCATGCTGAATTGGAGGGGATTAGTGAGAGTAGAGTGTATGGGTTTGGCACTACTGGGTGAATAGTTACTGTAGCCTGGTTTACAGCTCATAAGTTCTGTGCTGGCCTATAATCATGGGAGGTAGATATCCCATCATCAGGTAGTGGCTTTTTCGCCAGTAAGAGCGGAGTATTCCAAGGTGACTGACATGGCACAAGAATGCCATGTTTTCTGAGCCATTCTAGATGCTTTTCTATGCCTAGGGCAGCCTCTGGGGCATAGGGTACTGGTGCAGCCAGACTGGGAAAGCTCCTGTTTTTAGTTCTACTACCACCATGGTTTATGGCTAGCTCAGGTGGATTATCTTCAGCTCATACTTGTGGGAATTCACTAATTAGCCCTGACAATATGACTTCTTCCACTAGCCTCCAGGACTGCTTGATGGATCCTTCCACATCCTTAGCAAATAGCCGCCATTCTTCAGCTTGTGGTACTGGGAGGGCTAATACCATAGCTGTTGGTTGGTTAAAATCTAGAGTCATGCGTCCCTCTGGTTTAAAGGATATCTGTGCTTGAAACTTTTGAAGCAAATCCCTTCGTAACAAAGGGACAGGGCAGCTGGGGAGATAGAGGAACTCATGCTGGACCTTGCGCCCTCCAGTAACACATCTTTTTGACTGGAAGATGTGTTTTCTGACACTCCTGTGGCCCCACTAATGGTGGTATAAGTTTTAGACCATGGCCCCACCAGTTTTGTCACCACCAAATGCTGAACACCCATGTCTATCATAAAATCTGTTTTTTGGTCCCCTACTTTTACCCTGAACATAGGCTTCTGGGAGCCTAGAGAAATGGAGCCTGATGTGTTTCAGTCTTCAAAGCTGTCTACCCCAGCCAAGCCAATTAAGCCTGTATCCTGATCATTTGGGGCCTGCTGGTCTAAGTATTGCATAGAGGTAAAATCGGTGGCTGTATGGGGTACCCGATCTTCATATACTACTCTCTCTGGGCACTCAGCTTCCCAATGTCCTTTCTCCTTGGTCACTGCACATTGATCTCTCTCTAACCTAGGCCAAGTTTCAGACTCCAGTCTGACTACACCTCTCCCATGCCCTCTTCCATGTCCTCTTGTTACACCAGCTCCCCTCTCAACTAAGGCAGCCACTAACAAGTCCACCTTTTCTTTTGCCTTTCGCCTTGCCTTTCTTTCAGCCTCTTCCTCTCAATTGTGAAACACCTTGGTAGCCATCTGTATGAGTTCAGTAGCACTCTTGTCCTTAAATCCTTCTCACTTCTGTAGCTTCCACTTAATGTCTCCTTGTGCCTGGCTGACAAAAGCCACATTCACCATACGTTGGTTGGCAGGGGCTTCTTGGTCAAATAGGGTATAAAGCTGGTATGCTTCACAGAGCCTCTCATAAAATTCACTTGGGCTTTCATCAGATTTTTGATGGACCTCTGAGACTTTTCCTGTATTTATTATCTTCTTCCCACCTGCCTTCATCCCATTTAAAAGTACAGTCCTATATGTTTGTAGGTTTTGCAGCCCCTCCTGTTCCTTGGGGTCCCAACATTGAGGAAAACGTTGCACTGCATATTTCAGGGCATCATTAGTGCCTGCTGGTGCATTATTTTCAAACTATTGGAGAGCTGCTTGGTTTATTCTCCTGTGCTCTTCTGTATTAAACAGCATTAACAGCAGTTCCTGGCAATCCAACCAATTAAGATTATGAGTAGCAAAGATGGACTGTATTAGATCAGTGAGCTCTTAGGGCTTCTCCGTGAAGGAGGGGATGTGTTGTTTCCAATTCAGAAGGTCGGTAGTAGAAAAGGGCTGGTGGATAAAGATTCTTTGCCCACCATGAACCTGCCCTGCTCATCTAGATAGGCTGGTGCCTGTGTTTCACCGAGAGGCATCTCTGGCTCAAGTACAGCCAGATTGGAGATGACTGGCCATGTCACTCACTTTTTCTCTCTCTTTTCTTTCCTTATGAGGGGGAGACATTGAGCTCTTGCTCCCCTCTAAGTCTGACTCTACTTGAGCCCCTGCACCTAGGCCTGGCACAGCATGGGCTCTGGCTCCTTGCTCTTCACCTTGCCTCAGGTTGTGCTAGGGATGGGTATATTGGAGCAGAAGGGGGTGGAATCTGTCTTTCTTCAGGGCGAGCCTGTAAAATCAGTTTCTCTAGTACCTCTTGCCCTTTCTTCTCTTCCCTTGTGGGCTTGGGGTCTGTAGGTTCCTTGGCCTCCTTTGAACCTGTCCATGCCACCAAGGCTTTGTGGTAGACAGCTAGGCAGGGTTGCAACCACTTAGGGTGTGTCTGGCGTACATTTAGCCATGCATCGATATATGGAAACTGATCTGGGTGTCCTGGCTGTCTGACCCTGGTCACCACCCTAAACACTCAACCAATGGTTTCTTTGTCTATCGTTTCCTCGGCCAGCCATCCAACCCCAAAGGAAGGCCATTCTAACTCACACAAGGTCCTTAACTTCTGAGGGGACAATTTAACTCAATAGTCTCCTGAGAAGCCTTTTTAAAGTTCTCTAACATGGACTCTAGTGGTGTGGGTTTTGACTCTTTTCCTCCCATCCTCCCACACAGTGTGCACTCTCACAGACTTCTACTTCGGATTGAACACCGTCCCCTGTTATGGGAGTTTTCAGACTGCCATTTAGCTAGTAGAGTGCCTTAATCCCACCACAGTCAGCTGCAACTGTGGGGCCGCTCCTGTCAACCGTATGCGGTCAGCCCCTAGTAAATCAGCCCTCACTTGCTTCGGAGCATGCAATCCATGCTAAGTGATCTGCGCCTCCCCGCTTCACACCCCACATTGGCTCCTCCCAGAACCGTCTCTTTCAGACACTTCCACACTCCTTCCCCCTTTCCCACTTTCCTCTACAAACTGGCTTGATGAGTTACCCCTGTTCAGTGTGCCTGTGGCGATGTGAGTTTCATCCAAATCAGCGAGCTGCTCTCCATCCCCCAGCCTTTCTGGGTTGGATTAGTAGTCACTTCCCAGGAGTTGATCAGACTCTCCTTCCACCCTCTTGGGGCGGGCTCTTCTTTTCCTTAAATGCCTTACTGTAATTCCTGAAATATGTTGGTCCTGGAGATCGTCCTGCAACCCCTTCCAAAGGTCTGATGCGCTGTCCAGGAGTGGATGCCGGGGCACGGCAGAGCAGGTCTCCTGTCTGGGCTGAAGTTCTCCCAGCAGTACCTAGGGTCACAGGTCTCCTGTGGTCCAGGGCCTTCGTCCCACAGGTAAAGGAGACAGTAAGCCTGCCGTTTCAAGTCCCTGTTCAGGCGCCAGAAAATGTAGCAGGAAATCAGAGATTTAGAGAGACCAATGGGGTTGCAGGAGGATTTTATTTAACGTGATTGGGCTTAGCAGTATCGCTTCCTAATTCTGAGCAAAGGACAAAGAAAATGGGGTACTTTTTATGCACCTAAAATGATGCAGTAGTTACAGAAGCCAGAACACAGAACAGTTAATCAGTTTGTGACGTGTCTTGTGATGTACTTTACATTTGAAAAGTAACATTTTGAGAAACGCATTCCTCAGTTTCTATCTGCTCTGTGACCTTGCAGCAGGTCAGCAAGAAAAACAGGAATTTCTAGATGCCTGGGAACTTTGCTAGGAATGTGAGGAGGATAGATAAGGGTTAAATGGTTTGCAGGAAGCTAAGGAGGTATGACAGCACACAACACAGCAAAATTTACTGTATTTTATAGGAACTACAATGTATAAGGTTTTTCTTTACTATTGCTATGATTTAATTTCCTTCTTCAATAGAGTATTATAAAAGTAGGTTTTACCCTCAGTTGTCTAGATGTTGAAAATGAAGTTCAGAAAAATTGCTTTTCAAGATATTCAAGAAAATCAAAACCATTCTCATTAGATAGGGTAGGAGCTACGTATTGGCAAGATAAATCTTCGGGGTTTTGGGTACTTGGTCATTGTAATGTTTTCAGGTACCACTATTCTACTTTTTGGGTTTGTATTCTTTCTTTCAAAATAATCTAATTATTATTTAAGAAACCTGATGAAGCCATGAATTCAACCTATGTTGTTTATCAGTAACCTGCAGGAACAGACTCTGTTTCTGATTTTTCACTGTATCGCTCTGTGGCTAGAGAGAAAAGAAATTATTTCAGGGCAGTCATGGAACCAAACTCCCTGCTTCTTTGATCTACCTAAACATGTCTGTTGTATATGGATAAGAAGCATGCTTCAATATTCAAATTTTCTAATTCTCCTAGTATGGATTTTCATAAGTTATATTTTTCTAGGAATTTGTCTAATACACATTTTCAAATTTAATCACATAAAATTGTTCATATCTTCTGTTTAGGGTCTATAGGGTCTGTAGTGATGTCTTCCTTTTCAAGTCTGATGTTAGTAATTTGTGTTATGTTCACTATTCCTATAGGTTTATCAACTTTCTTCCTATTATAAATCTATTTTTTCTTTGAGGATTTTCTATATTGTGTTTGTTTTCTGACATTAATTTCTACTGTTATTTCCTTCTGTTCACATTTTTGGGTTTAAATTCCTGTACCTTTTTTTGGAGGGGGACAGGATCTCACTCTGTCACCCAGGTTAGAGTGCAGTCGCATGGTCTTGGCTCACTGCAATCTCTGCCTCCCGGGTTAAAGCAATTCTGCCTCAGTCTCCCGAGTAGCTGGGATTACAGGCACATGCCACCATGCCCAGCTAATTTTGACATTTTTAGTGGAGATGGGGTTTGACTATGTTGGCCAGCCTGGTCTTGAACTCCTGACCTCAGGTGATTCACCCACCTTGGCCTCCCAAAGTGTGGGGATTACAGGTATGAGCCATGGTGCCTGGCCTCCTTGCTTCTTTTGGATTAATCAAGTATTTATTATTTGCTTTCTCCCCTTTTGGCTTTTTTTCAGTACTCTTTTAGTAGTTCACTTAGAGATTACAACATGCGTCCTTGATTTATTAGAGTGTAATAGTGATACTTTTGTCCCTTCCAAAACAATGCTGAGATCTTAGAATATCTTAACTCGATTTGTCTCCTTTTACCCTCTTGTCAGGCATTTTAATCTTCCAGACATTTTAAACCCTATGAAACATGATTATTACTGTTTTTGTGTGTGTGTGTGTGGTAATATTCACTTAAATTTACCCATGTTGATCATTATTCTTTCTTGCATTTCTGTGTTTCAATCTGGGATCATTTTCATTCTGCCTAAGTTTAGCATAACTTTATTATTATTGTCATTTGAGACCGGCTGTCACTCTGTTACTCAGACTGGAGTGCAGTGGTATGACCTTGGCTCACTGCAACCTCCACTTCCTGTGCTCAAGCAGTCCTCCCACCTCAGCTTCCCACATAGCTGGGACTACAGGGGAGCACCACCACATCTGGCTTTTTTGCATTTTTGTAGAAATAGGGTTTTGCCATGTTGCCCAGTTGGTCTTGAACTTCTAGGCTCAAGCAATCTATTTGCTTTGGTCTCCCAAAATGCTGAGATTACAGGAATGAGCCATCATGCTTAGCCAAAGTTTCTTTACTTCATCTTTTTAAACAAAGTTTTATTTAAATATTTTTACTTACTGTAAAATCCACCCATTTTAAGTGTACAATCCATTGGTTTTTAGGATATTCAGAATAGCGCAACCATCACAATTCTATTTTAAATCACTTCCATCACCCAAAAAGATCCATTTTGCTCATTTGCAGTCACACTCTATTCTCACACCCAATCCCAGGAAATGATTAAGCTACTGTCTGTATGGATTTGCCTTTTCTTCTGAAAATTTCATATAAATGGAATTATATATGTGTCCTCTTGTGTCCAACTTCTCTCATTTGGCATGTTTTAAAGGTTCATCTATGTTGTAATATATATTAATAGTTCATTCCCTTTTATCACAGAACAGAAATCCATTTTATGGCTATCCGACATTTTGTTTATTCATTCACCCACTGATGAATATTTGGATTGTTTCCACTTTTGGGCTGTTAAGAATGACATGGCCGCTGAACATGTGCATGTAAGTCTCTGTAAGGACATGTTTTGTTTCTCTTTGATATATACCAAGGAGTAGTTTCAGGTTCATAAACATATGTTTAACTTTTGCTATATTCTTTTTGGATTTTGCTCTTCCTCATCCTGATTCCAGTTACACGTATGTTAGACTTTTGTACCATGCCTGATGTGCCCCTAATGCTCTTTTGTCAGGCATTATGTATATATATATGTGTGTGTGTGTGTGTGTGTGTGTGTGTGTGTATAAAGTATATATGTATTATATATATGTGTTTTACTCTTTGTATTTAATGTGACCCTCAAATTCACTAATCCTTCAACCCTAATTTGTGAGTAATCTCATATATAAAATTCTCTTGAGTTCTAGGTTTCTCATTTTATTCTTTATAGATTCCAATTCTTTGATGATATATTCAATCTTGTTTTTTCTTACATTTACCAATCCTGGCTATTTCAAAGTTTGTGTCCAACATAAATCCAATGTGTAAATTTATTACAGATCTATTTTTCTAATGGTACCTTTTTCTGAAAATATAGCTTGACTTTTTAAAAATTATACTTTAAGATCTGGGGTACCTGTGCAGAATGTGCACGTTTGTTATATAAGTCACATGTGCTATGGTGGTTTGCTGCATTCATCACCCTGTCATCTACATTAGGTATTTCTCCTAAAGCTGCCCCTCCCCTAGGTCCCCACCCCCCTGCTATCCATCCCCTAACCCCCAAACCCCTGACAGGCCCCACTGTGTGATGTTCCCCTCCCTGTGTCCATGTGTTCTCATTGTTCAGTACCCACTTATGAATGAGAACATTGCAGTGTTTGGTTTTCTGTTCTTGTGTCAGTTTGCTGAGAATGATAGTTTCCAGCTTCATCCATATCCCTGCAAAGGATATGGATGTGGCACATTCCATGGTGTATATGTGCCATATTTTCTTTATCCAGTATATCATTGATGGGCATTTGGGTTGGTTCCAAGTCTTTGCTATTGTGAACAGTGCCACAATAAACATACATGTGCATGTGTCTTTATAATAGAATGATTTATAATCCTTTGAGTATATACCCAGCAATGGGGTTGCTGGGTCAAATGGTATTTCTAGGTTCTTGCGGATTTGCCACACTTGTCTTCCACAGTGGTTGAACTAATTTACACTCCCAACACTATAAAAGTGTTCCTATTTCTTCACATCCTCCCAATCATCTGTTGTATCCTGATTTTTTAATGATTGCCATTCTAACTGGTGTGAGATGGTATCTCATTGTGGTTTTGATTTGCATTTCTCTAATGACCAGTGTTGATGAGCTTTTCTTCTTATGTTAGTTGGCTGCACAAATGTCTTCTTTTGAGAAGTGTCTGTTCATATCCTTTATCCACTTTTTGATGTGGTTGTTTTCTTATAAATTTGTTTAAGTTGTTGTAGATTCTGGATATCAGCCCTTTGTTAGATGGGTAGATTGCAAACATTTTTTTTTTCCATTCTGTTGGTTGCCAGTTCACTCTAACAATAGTTTATTTTGCTGTGCAGAAGCTCTTTAATTAAATCCATTTGTCAATTTTGGTTTTTGTTGCCATTGCTTTTGGTGTCTTACTCATGAAGTAAGGACCGTGCCCATGCCTAGGTTCTGAATGGTATTGCCTGGATTTTCTTCTTGGGTTTTTATGGTGTTAGGTCTTATGTTTAAATCTTTAATTCATCTTGAGTTAATTTTTGTATAAGGTGTAAGGAAGAGATCCAGCTTTAGCTTTCTGCATATGGCCAGCCAGTTTTCCCAACACCATTTATTAAATAGGGAATCCTTTCCCCATTGCTTGTTTTTGTCAGGTTTGTCAAAGATCAGATGGCTGTAGACATGTGGCATTATTTCTGAGGCCTCTGTTCTGTTCTATTGGTCTATATCTGTTTTGGTAACAGTACCTGTGGCCTTATAGTATAGTTTGAAGTCAGGTAGCGTGATGCCTCCAGTATGTGTTGTTTGTTGTTGTTATTGTTTGATTTGCTTTGGATTGTCTTAGCTGTGAGGGCTCTTTTTTGGTTCCATATGAAATTTAAGGTAGTGTTTTTTTTCCCCCAATTCTGTGAAGAAAGTCAATGGTAACTTGATGGGGATAGTATTGAAACTCTCCATTACTTTGGGCAGTATGGCCATTTTCACGATATTGATTCTTCCTAACCATGAGCATGGAATGTTTTTTCCATCTGTTTGTGTCCTCTCATTTCCTTGAGCAGTGGTTTGTAGTTTTCCTTGAAGAGGTCCTTCACATCCCTTGTTAGTTGTATTCCTAGGTATTCTCTTTGTAGTATTGTGAATGTGAGTTCACTCATGATTTGGCTCTCAATCTGTTATTGGTGTATAGGAATGCTTGTGGTTTTTGCACATGGATTTTGTATCCTGAGACTTTGCTGAAGTTGCTATCAGCTTAAGGAGATTTTGGGCTGAGACAATGGGGCCTTCTAAATATGCAATCGTGTTGTCTGCAAATAGAGAAAATTTGACTTCCTCTTTTCCTAATTGAATACCCTTTCTTTCTTTTTCTTGCCTGATTGCCCTGTCCAGGATTTCTAATACTATCTAGAATAGGAGTGGCGAGAGGGGGCATCCTTGTCTTGTGCCTGTTTTCAAAGGGAATGCTTCCAGTTTTGCCCATTCAGGATGATATTGGCTGTGGGGTTGTCATAAATAGCTCTTGAGATATGTTGCATCAATACCTAGTTTATTAAGAGTTTTTAGCATAAAGTCTGTTGAATTTTGTCAAAGGTCTTCTCTGCATCTATTATCATGTGGTTTTTATATTTGCTTCTGTTTATGTGATGGATTGTGTTTATTGATTTGCATTATGTTGAACCAGTCTTCCATCCCATGGATGAAGCTGACTTGATTGTGATGGATAAGCTTTTTGATGTGCTGTTGGATTTAGTTTGCCAGTATTTTATTGAGGATTTTTGCATCGATGTTCATCATGGATATTGGACTGAAATTTTCTTTTTTAGTTTTTTCTCTGCCAGGTTTTGGTATGAGGATGATGTTGGTCTCATAAAATGAGTTAGGGAGAATTCCCTCTTTTTGTATTGTTTGGAATAGTTTCAGAAGAAATGGTACCAGCTCCTCTTTGTACCTCTGGTAGAATTTGGCTGTCAACCCATCTGGTCCTGGACTTTTTTTGGTTAGTAGGCTATTAATTGCTGCCTCAACTTCAGACCTTGTTATTGGTCTATTCAGGTATTTGACTTCTTCCTGATTTTGTCTTGAGAGGGTCTAAGTGTCCAGGAATTTATCCATTTCTTCTAGATTTTCTGGTTTATTTGCATAGAGGTGTTTATAGTATTCTCTGATGGTATTTTGTATTTCTGTAGGATCCATGGTGATCCCTTTTATCATGTTTTATTGCATCTATTTGATTCACCTTTTTTTCATTATTAGACTGGCTAACGGTCTATTTTATTGATCTTTTCAAAAACCAGCTCCTGGATTGATTTTTTTGAAGGATTGTGTCTCAATCTCCTTCAGTTCTGCTCTCATCTTAGTTCTTTCTTTTATGCTAGCTTTTGAAATTGTTTGTTCTTGCTCCTCTACTTCTTTTAATCATGATGTTGGTATGTCAATTTTAGGTCTTCCTTTTTCTTGTGGGCATTTAATCTTATATATTTCCCTCTACACACTGCTTTAAATGTGTCCCAGAAATTTTGGTATGTTGTATCTTTGTTCTCATTGGTTTCAAAGAACATCTTTATTTCTGCCTTCATGTTATTTATCCAGTAGTCATTTGGGAGCAGGTTTTTCAGTTTCCATGTGGTTGTGCAGTTTTGAGTGAGTTTCTTAATCCTAAGTTCTAATTTGATTCATGGTGCTATTTCTTAGTATGCTTAGAAATTTTTGCTGGAATGCTAGAAATTGTTTGAAAAACTATAGAAGCTGTGGATGAAAGTATCCTCTTCAAGAGAAGATTCACCCTGTCCTCTCTCAAACTAGAGCAGGGACGCCTCAATCCAGTCAAAAACTGAGCTTACTCATGGCTGGGCTTCAGATTCCTTAGTTAGCTCTACTTCTGGTTTATCTCAGCTTTTGGGGTGAATGAAGCCTTTGAGGGGTTACAGTGAGAGCACCTGGAGTGTTTTTAGAGAGCTTCCTCTTTAAAATCAAGTTCAATTTTTGTTTTTGCTCTGCTGCACTTTAGTTTTCTTACCTTGTACAACATAAAATTTGGTAAATGACTAAGAAAATCAGCATAGTCACATGGGGTTCTCTGCATCTCCCTTCTCCCAGGATCTTTGCCCTCAAGTCCTGGCTGCCTTAGAAGCATTTCAGTGTCTTCAAATAGACGTTGCATGCCTCCTGTTCAACCTTTTGTTTAGTGTAAAGCTGCTACAATGTCACATCTAGAAATGGGAGTATGAAATAAGTTGTTTTTGAAACAAAATCTGGCTATTTGTTCCGACAGGATGTTGTAAAATTACTTATTTTGAAAAGACCTCCCTTGGCCTGGCACAGTGGCTCATGCCTGTAATCCCAGCACTCTGGGAGGCAAGGCAGGCACATCACCTGAGGTCAGGAGTTCGAGACCAGCCTGGCCAATATGGTGAAACCCTGTCTCTACTAAAAATACAAAAATCAGCTGGGCATGGTGGCACGTACCTATAATCCCAGCCACTCAGGAGGCTGAGGCAGAACTGCTCAAACCTGGGAGGGGGAGGTTGCAGTGAGCCGAGATAAGCCATTGCACCACTCCAGCGTCAGCAGCTTAGCCACCACACTTGTCTAAAAGAAAAAACCTCCCTCCACCTAAAAAGAGTATGTAAGAATATAGTATACATTTCATACACCACCTTTACTGAAAAGAGCTTCATAAGATGTAGTTTGGATTGTCCTGAAATATTGAGGCCTTAAAGTTCCACCTCTATAATGCTCATAGAGTATCATAGAAGTTGATTGTTTCTAGTTTGTAAAACAATTGGGTCTTGCAGAATTTGAATTCCCAGACAAAACTGGCTGGCACCTGCCCACATCTGGGTAAATTTTTTTTTTTTTTCAGATGTTGTTTCACTCTTGCTGCTCAGGCTGGAGTGCAATGGTGCTGTCTTGGCAATCTCCCCCTTCCAGGTTCAGGTGATCGTCCTGCCTCAGCCTCCCAAGTAGCTGGCATTACAGGTACCCACCACCACGCCTGGCTAATTCCTGTATTTTTAGTAGAGATGGGGTTTCACCATGTTGCCTAGACTGATCTTGGACTCCTCACCTTGCGTGGTCTGCTCACCTCAGCCTCCCGAACTGAAAGTCCTGGGAAGAAGCCTATTTTAGAGTTATTCTTTACAGAAGAAAACATCAAATTTGAGAGAGAATTAACTAAGTTTAAATCTATTAGAAGTCTCCCTCTGTCATTAATTTTTAGTGATCTGGGCCTTGAGACTTAAAAGCCAAATCAAAGAAACAGAATACTCTATCCTTTAATCTCTTTAATTCAGACATCTGTCCTTTGTAGAAAGGTGTTTTGGTGAACCCAAGTTGTTACACTAATAACATTCCACAGTATTAACACCAGAATGATTGAAGTCACATTCATGAATTATACAGGAAATATCAATGGCTCATGAACTGATTATTTTTCTACCAAGTTAGGATTGGGTATCATCAAACTAATTTTTAATGCCTACTAAAATTCATACTTAATAGGAAGACAATCTATAATTAAAATTGTCCCTTGTTAGATGGAGAGCAAAGACTTATTCATGCAGAATCTCCCATGCCTTGTATTGCGCTAGGCACAAAATGGTATTCAGTGTTTTGAGAATGAATGAATGATCTGCCTGTAGTCTTTGATAACACTGAATATCATGCTAGGAAAATAGGGGCATGTAACTTTTAATTTACTTACCAAATTCTAAGCGTTGCATTGAGAATACCTTTCAATCATGAGCATTAATTTGAGAACAGTTTGGAAAGTGGAGTCTCTGGGGCACTCGCCTCTGTTTACAGCCTCCTGTGCAATCTTAGCCAAGTAACAACCTTTTCAGGCCTAGGTTTACCAGTCTTTTAATATTACAGGATTTTATGCTTTAAAAATTCTATAAATTACTACCTATTTACAAACCTAGATTAATTGTGACAGATGGTATGTTTAAGGAATTACTTTTTAAAAAATGCAACAAGAGCCTTACAAACCATCCATCTGAAGAGCAAGCACAAATACTGGCTCTGGTGTCATCGCAGTTGCAGAAAAGAATGTCAGTCAGATGTGAATTGTGTTTCAGTCGCTCTGCAAGGCTGCTGCCACATATGGAGCATTTTTAGGCCAACTTTAAAAAATTCCCAGTTAAGGTAAACAGGAAATTAGATGATCTTCATTAAGATTCCATGGGTATGTCTGAGCTCCTGCTGCCAAAGGGGCCACTAACAGATGAATTTCTTGCACTCCCAAGAACAAGCCTCTCTCGTCTTCCAAATGCTTCATTTACTAAAATACAAATAAACAGTTAAGAAACCACCAGATCAGGAAATTAAGTCCATATAAAAAGACACTAAAATGCAGAATTGAGGAATGAAGTTCTCTATTCTGGAGCAAAAATTTTATCAAAATTTTTGATAAAATTTACACTTAAAGTGTGAAGACAAACTTGTGAACATAAACATTTCCAATTACATCTGATCTTTTCTCTTTCCTAAGCAGACTATATGCTAACTTTGCTATTTTCCTGATGTAGTCAAGTCACACATTCTGCACTTGGTCTAGGCCAAAATGCTGAGAGGTGATTCAAGTCACACATTCTGTGTCAGTCCTTACAGAACTCATTCAGAAAAAGGAGAGGCCAGTGTGATGGCTCACACCTGTAATCCCAGCTACCCAGGAGGCTGAGGATCAATGATTGTTTGAGGCCAGAAGTATGCAACCAGCCTGGCTAACATAGTGAGATCCTTTTTTTTTTTAAAAAAAAAAAAGAAAAGAAAAGAAAGCAAAAAAGTAGGGGGTGTGTGCAGAGAACTAAAACTCCTTACCTGAAGAGACTGTGCTTATATCCCAGACCCGAAGCCCTTCTTTTTGACCTCCAAAGGCATAAATAAATGGCAAGTCAGGGCAACATGAAGAACAGAAGAGAACTCCCTGGAGAGAGAACAGGAAGACAGTGAATTCGGTCTTTTCAGAGAGCCCTAATATCCAGATCCTTACTCTCGTCTCTGATTTAAATGGTTATTCAAAACTAACTTATCAAGTGTGCTGCAAAGGTAGCTCACAGTCAAGTCAGAAGGGCTATTACTACAATACGAAGCCAGAGAAGCACAGCACGCTGATTCTTGCATGATGATATGTGCATCTTCTGACCACTCAGGCCATGCATCTTCGTTATGACTGTCTCTTAGGGATTTCCTAATAAACCTAACATGTTATGTATTTCCAGAAACTTTAGCTCCCCTTTTAAACAGTGACAATGATATCAGCTTAAATCATTTTTAAACTTTAATGTTTTCCTTTTTACATTTTTATTGATAGGCAATATATATTTGTTGCAGAAAATATGAACAAGAGAAATATACAAAAATATCACAGGGAGATAACCACGGTTCATGTTCTGGGATACAATCTAGATTTAAATGTAAGCATTTAAGCAATTATGCATTTAAAAATAAGCATGAGATGGTATAAAAATTGCTCTGTAACCTGTCTTTTCATTATTTGTACATATATTTATTTATTCATACACAATTTTGAACAGTTGTACAGTGTTACTATGTCTGCAATCTAACTCAGTGGTGCCCTACAGTAGGTGCTCAGTAAATATTTCTTGAATGAATCTGGTTATTTCTAAATTTTTCCTACTACATAGTAATTCATTTCAGTGTAGTCAGAACTAGTTATGCAAAGAGACAGGGATACATAAACTGACCCTAATAACTAAGGTGCCCTGAGATTCAAGATTTCTTGGGATGGTCCTGATTTCAGGGTAAAAAAAAAAAAAAGTGGCCATTTCACTTGTGTCCTAGAAAACCCTCTCCCTAGCCTTCTTTGTCTTACCAAGCACTGTTCATCATGTGAGTGGGAAAAGAACCAGTCACTGAATTCCTCACAGTGTCCTAAGTCATAAAGATCCCACCAAATTTTACTAAGCTCAAAATTAACTTCCCCAACACATCCATATTTGTTAATGCAATGACTCCAAGAGAAAAAAGTGCACCACCAGTTACAGAGAAAGGTAAGGTCAGAAACAGAATAAGCAAAAAAAAAACAGATACCCAGGGAGATTCTTACCATTTTCATGTCCCTAGAATGAATTAGACTTGGCCTATCTCCTAAGATGTCCCAGATCTTCACGTATTTGTCTGCTGAAGCAGTCACGAGACAGCCCTTGATTTGACTGCTAAGATCAAGACCTAAAGGAAGAGAAGATTAGTTCAGAGACTGTCACTTTGAAATACAGATTTACTTCACCATCAGTTAAAAATGAAAGAAACATTATTCTTGCTCACCAGAGATTTCATCATTGTGTGCATTAAGTGTAAAAATTGGCTTATCTGAACGTGCATCCAAATTATATACAAAGCCATCATCTGTACTGGCCTAGAAAGAGTAAAAGATGGGCAAGGTCATGCTATGTGACAAATCTGACAATAGGTAAAAAGTCTAAATCACAGTGAAAATCAGCTATATGACTTACTGGTGGAGCTTATGAAAAATTAACATGGACAGACATCATTTACTTTTGGACGACCTGAGTTTGCACTCACAAGGACTAATTCAGTTGACATGTCTACTGGATATGAGAATGAAGCTGTGGTAAGTGGTCTGGAATGGGGCTAGAGAGGTAGAAGCAAAGAAGTCATAGTTACGTCCACGCAAGCAGAGGCCTGGTGAGAATGGCTACTTTAAGGTGCAGGCTGCGGAGGCATCCACAGAAGTGGGTCAGAGAGGGAAGGGACAGGGAAGAGTGTCAAGGAAGCCAAGGCATCACCAACAGCCTAACTGACCAGTTTAGCAGCAGAGAAATTCAATCAGATAAGGAACTTAGGACTGAAAGGCAGATTAGAATGGGCTGTTACACTACCAAGAAAGGGAGAAGAAATGAAGGAATTAGGAGACAGAGTCAAAAATGGGAGACAGAAACCTGAGCCTGTATACAGGCCAAGGGCAACAGCCAGCACAAAAAAAAAGGATAAAGAAAAGGATGGCTGAGGCAGCCTCAAGGCTGGGCCAGGGAAGAGAACGCTTGGCTCTTCTTTTGAGACGAGAGGGAAGCAGGCGAACCATTTCATCTCCTACTTTTACCTCCCACTTCCCTAAATATTTAGGATTTTAGTATCTATGACCATTTGTTGGCAAATAACCCCTGGAAGTTTATGTGCCTGAATAATGGGAGTGGAAGTACAACAGTCAAGTACAACTGGACTTCATTCCTAAGCATTGTAAAATGAGTCTGGCTTCAGTCCGCCTGACTAGGAACAGCATGAACCTCTACTAATAGTGCAGAATTGAGATTAAGTATCTCAGAATCATTACTTCAGGAACCTTATTAAAATTGTTCACGTCTTTTGAGAACGCTGTTTTTAAAAAACTCTTTCCTACCTTGGCAAAGCACTACATAATTACTTTAGGAAAACTGGGCAATACAGATTTAACTAATCTACTCTCTGGATGAAAGCTGGAATCTTCTTTTTACACGTACTGAAATGTCAGTGGAATCTTTGGATGCTGTGTGGAAACTCATCATCCTACCTACATAATAAGGGTATTTAGAGAGAGATTTTATACTTTTTTTTCCTATTTGGGAGATAAAAAACCAAAAACCTTATGCTTTCAACCCTAAACCCAAATACTTCATACTGTTAAAACTAGAAAAAGTTTTTCAGATATTCTACCATGGAATTTTTAAAAAGTTTAGTCATTAGTAACCTAGAAGAGCAAAACAATAACATGCGTACTCTTACCAAAAAATGACAAGGTGAAAAGTGATTCCAAGTCACTCTCTCTATCTGCCCACTGAATCGCCATATTCGATGGCTTTCATCTGGACTTCGGCAGTCATACAAAGCCACTGACCTAGAAGCATTCAGGCAAAGTTAGGGTTTTAAGAGTTCAATTCTCCTATATATTTAAGGTTGTTTATAATAAAATAGCACTGTGAAGTCAAGATTCATCTAAAGCCTGTTTTGAGGTTCTAAATAAAGTAGAAAAAAAAAATGAGCTCAGTTTCAGTAATTGGTAGATTCTAATCTTAACACTTTAAGGCACTGGTGGCTCTAATGTAACAGCTAGTCTTGACCTTCTCTAGATCAGATCCTCCACTTGCAAGAATCCTCTCTATGTCCAAAAACCCAAACAATTTCCAATTTGCCCTTCTCTGGTCGAGCTCAGAGCCTGCTTACTCATGTCTTAGGCACATTTACTCTCCACAAGCAGGTTACTGTGTTGGGGGAAGCAAGGGATACACTTGAAATTCTGCATGAATCACAAGAAATGTAAACATACCATGCCTCAAGAGGATAAGAAATGAAAATAAAGACTGTAAAGTTGGTTTTGGCTTCTACTATCTGTTTCTCCCACCTGTAGACCCAATCTGTAAAAAGGAGCACAGACATGAGGTAGAAACCACGTGGCTGACCACAGTGGCCCCAATTCTTCACCTCTCCCTATATCCATGCCCGCTGTCATGTGACATGGGAATTCTTCCCATAAAGGCAAAGTACAGCCTCTAAAAGCCAAAGTAGTAGCTAGTTCCTACAGTTTCATTATTATGACAGAACCATGTTGTTCCCTTGTAGACTGAAGGGACCAGAGTTAAAAGGAAAAATCAGTAGTGTGAATAATTTAAACATGTAGGTGGCCTCAGGGATATATTCTGCCTGGGCATCAATTATACTTTTTCAGTGAGTTCTAGAGGATAAAAACAGAGCAGCAATCATTCCTGCGGTGCTTTCTTACTTGTCATACGAGCCAGAAATCAGAGTCTGCGCTTCAAATGGATGAAACTGCAGCGTTTGGACCTAAAGGGAAGAAATATAAATGCAGAGATCTCTGTTCATTTGCTTTTTGTAAAATTATCTACTATGTGTTAAGAACTGATTTGACAGTATTTCTATAAATGCTTCCCTTTGAAATAGAGTAAACAAAAGAAACACAAATATACTTCATAATCAAAGGGCCCAAACCATGCTCCCAAATAAAGGCTGGCACTTAAAAAGAAAATATAGTTTCCCCAAACTGTTTGGCAGAACACTTATGTCCCTCAAATGTTAAAGGTTACTCAGAAGACAAAGGGAAGTAGTGAAACGTATCTGATCAACTCCTCATGCTCCAGAAGTCCCAAAATAATGTGCATTAGATGCCTGAGGAATAATGCAGTAATGGATGTGAATTCTTTAACATCATTGTGACCGACAGTTCTCATCCCTTTTTAGGGATGAGATATAAATATGTTAGAGGGCACTAATGTTCCTAATAACCATACCTTTCTGTACCCATTTTTTCATCTCTACGATGGCATTATACCTACCACATAGGGCTTTGTGCAAATCCTGAGATAACATGTGAAAGCATGCTGCAAGCCAGATAACATTATTTTCAAAGCCATATATAAACGTTTGAGATTATTTTTAGCCAATATTGTGTCAGATTTTTAAGAATCACCGTGATCAACTAAATCACCATACCTTGTCTGTATGTACAGCGAGGCTAGCTACTGGCTTCCCCATGGACATATCCCACAGAATTACAGTGTTGTCTGCTGATGCACTTGCCAAAACATTTCTGAGAAAGAGAAGAATCAAATCAGGCAATCTTTTTTAAAAGTCAAGAGCATTAAATATGAGAAAAGGATTGCATTTACAATAGCATCAGAAAGAATAAAATACTTAGGAAGAAGTTTAACAAAAGAAATTTAAGACTTACATAATGAAAACTACCAAAACTTATCAAAAGAAATGAGAAGATCTAAATAAGTTGAAAGACACTGTTAAGTCTTAACAGTCTTCTAATACATGAACATTGGGTGTCTTTCAACTTATTTAGATCTTCTCATTGGAAATCTAATATCTACATATTAATATGGAAATACTATATCTACAGATGGAGCTCTAAACTGATCTGCGGAGACTGGCTTGAACCCAAGAAGTGGAGGTTGGAGTGAACCTAGATCATGTCACTGGACTCCAGCCTGAGCAACAGAGCAAGACTCCGTCTCACAAAAAAAAAAAAAAAAAAAAAAAAAAAAAAAAAAAAAAAAAAAAAAAAAAAAAAAAAAGAAAAAATTCATATAAAAATGCAAGGAACTCAGAATACCCAAAATAGTACTCAAAAAAAGAACAAAGCTGGCAAGCTAACACTTCCTGACGTCAAAACTTACAATATACAGCAACCACAACAATGTGCTACTGCCATAAGGAAATACACATTAATGGACTAAAACTAACAGTCCAGAAATAAACATTTATAATCACTGGTTTTTGACAAGGGTGCTAAGAAAACTGAATGTTCAATGAGGGAAAAAAGTCTTAACAAATGGGGCTGGGCACAGTGGCTCACACCTGTAATCCCAGCATTTTGGGAGGCCAAGGCAGACAGATCACTTGAGGTCTGGAGTTCAAAACAAACCTGGCCTAAATGGTAAAACCTCATCTCTACTAAAAATACAATAATTAGCTGGGCATGGTGGTGCGCACCTGTAATCCCAGGTACTTGGGGCTGAGGCAGGAGAATCACTTGAACCCTGGAGGTGGAATTTCCAGTGAGCTAATAGCACACCACTACACTCCACCGGGGTGACAGAGTAAGACCCTATCTCAAACAAAACAAAAAAACAAACAGTGCAGGGACAAATGAGTCATCCTCATGAAAAAGAATGAAGTTGGACCCCTACCTCACACCATACACATAAAAAACCTCAAAACGGACCATAGACATCAATGTAAGAACTAATACTATAAAACTCTCAGCTGGGCGTGGTGGCTCATCCCTGTAATCCCAGCACTTAGGGAGGCTGAGGCGAGTGGATCACAAGATCAGGAGTTCAAGACCAGTCTGACCAACATGGTGAAACCCCATCTCGAATAAAAATACAAAAATTAGCTGGGTATGGTGGTGGGTGCCTGTAATCCCAGCTACTTAGGAGGCTGAGGCAGGAGAATTGCTTGAACCCAGAGGTAGAGGCTGCAGTGAGCTGAGATCGCGCCATTGCACTTCAGCCTGGAAGATAGAGCGAGACTCCAGCTCAAAAACGAACAACAACAAAAAAAACCTCTCAGAAGAAAACATACATGCTTTATATACATATAAACCTTCATAACCCTGAATTAGTCAGTGGTTCTTAGATACAGTACCAAAAGCATGAACAACAAAAGAAATAAAGTAGGCACCATCACATGAAAAACCTCTGCTACAAATGATAGCACCAAGAAAGTGAAAAAACAACCCACAGAATACAACAAAATATTTACAAATCATGTATTTGGTAAGAGTTAGCATTCAGAGTATATAAGAACTCTAAAAATTCAACATCAAATACAAAAAAATCAGGCAAAGGGAGGCCAGGCATGGTGGCTCATGCCTGTTATCCCAGCATTTTGCAAGTGCTGAGGTGGGAGGATCACCTGAGCCCTGGGAGGTCAAGGCTGCAGCGAGCTGTGATCATGCCACTGCACTCCAGCCTGGCTGACAGAGTGAGACCCTGTCTCAAAAAAAGTAAGCAAAGGACTTGAAAAACATTTCTCCCAAAGATAGATTAATGGCCAATAAGCACAAAACAAAGATGTTCAACATCACTAACTATTCATTAAGAAATAAAGATTAAGCCAGGTGTGGTGGCACACCCCTGTACTCCCAGCAACTTGGGAGGGTATGCTTGAGCACAAGAGTCTGAGACCAGCCTAAGCAACATAGTAAGACCCTCATCTTATTTTTGTTTTAAAGGGAGGTGGTGAGGGGAAATGCAAATTAAAACCTCAATGAGATAACCACTTCATCTGCATTAGGATGGCTGCTTCGAAAAACAGAAAATAACGAGCGTTGGGAGGATATGGAGATACTAGGGCACTGTGTGCACTATTGGTGAATGTAAAATGGTGGCTCCTCAAAAATTAAAAATAGAATTACCATAAGATTCAGCAATAACTGTTCTGGGTACATTACCAAAAGAATTGAAAGCAGGGACTTTAATATTTGTACACCCACATTCATAGCAGCATTATTCACAGTATCCAAAAAGTAGAAGCAATTCAGGTAAATTCAGATAAAGAAATGGATAGCATACATTACATACAATGGAATGTTTTTTAGCCTTAAAAAGGAAGGAAACTCTGTCACTTATTAGAACATGACTCAACTTGAAGACACTAAGTAAAATGAGCCAAACACAAAGAAATAAGTCTGTATGATTCCATTCATATGAGGTGCTTGGTCAAATTCATGGAGACAAAAAGTGGAGTGGTGGTTGCCAGGGCTGGGAGTGGGAAAAATGGGGAGTTAAGTGTTTAAAGGGCAGAGCTGCAGTGTGGAAAGATGAAAATGTTCTGGAGATGCATTGTGGTGGTGGTTGCACAACTCTGTGAATGTACTGAAAGCCACTGAACTGCACACTTAAAAATGGTTAAAGCGGTGATATGGTTTGGTTGTGTCCTCACCCAAATATCATCTTGAATTGTAGCTCCCATAATTCCCATGTGTTGTGGGAGGGACCCAGTGGAAGGCAACTGAATCATGTGGGCAGGTCCTTCCTGTGCTGTTGTCGTGAGAGTGAATGGGTATCACGATATTGGACGGTTTTATAAAGGAGAGTTCCCCTGCACCTGCCCCTTCTCCTGCCTGCTACCATGTAAGACATGACTTTGCTCCTCATTCACTTTCTGCCATGATGGTAAGGCTTCCCCAGCCATGTGGAACTGTGAGTCAATTAAACCTTTCCTTTATAAATTATCCAGTCTTGGGTATGTCTACATTAGCAGTGTGAGAACAGACTAATACCATTGGTAAGTTTTATATGTATTTTGCCATAATCTAAAGAAAAAAGAATATGTGGATAAGACGTGAAAACTAAACAGAGAAAAATGTCTTCTGGGAAGAAACACCATCCTATTGCACCATGGGCACTGCCATACACTGTTTTTTTCTAGTGATGGTGGGGAGAGAGCACTTGGTCACCAAACATGTAATGAGCACCCACAGTGATGAGCTGGCAAGTGACCTGGAGGATGCAAAGAAACAGATGGCAGAGCTCCTGCCTGCAAGCACAACATACTACAAGAAAGGAAGACAGACACAAAGGCCCACGGCACAAGTAAAAAGACGTGTAGGCATGAGGTAAGATCACAATGGCTATGGTCTTTTACAATCATTCAAATGTTATTTCTTTTTACCTGATTAGCTTATTCCATGAAAGGTCAAGGACAGCACTGGTATGCCCTTCTGCTGAGGAATTCTGTAAAATTTGTTTTAATTATTTTTTTGTATTAAAGTCCCCCCATAATAAAACTGAATATATTAATTTACAAGATTCTTTAAACCTTAAGATTATTTTGTTTTGGCCAGGCATGGTGGCTCACGCCTGTAATCCCAGCACTTTGGGAGGCCAAGGAGGGCAGATCACCTGAGGTCGAGAATTCGAGACCAGCCTGACCAACATGGAGAAACTCTGTCTCTACTAAAAATGCAAAATTAGCTGGGCATGCTGGTGCATGCCTGTAATCCCAGCTACTTAGAGGCTGAGGCAGGAGAATCGCTTAAACCCGGGAGGCGGAGGTTGCAGTGAGCTGAGATCGTGCCATTGCACTCCATCCAGTCTGGGCAATAAGAACAAAACTCCATCTCAAAAACAAAAGAAAAAGGAAAAAAAAAAAAAAAAAGACCATTTTGTTTAGTTTTGAGCTACAGTCTCGCTCTCTTGCCCCAGCTGGAGTGCAGTGGCATGATCTTGGCTCACCGCAACCTCTGCCTTCTAGGTTCAAGCCATTCTCCTGCCTCAGTCTCTCGAGTAGCTGGGATTACAGATGCACTCAACTACACCCGGCTAATTTCTATATTTTTGCGGAGATGGGGTTTTGCCCTGTTTGCCAGGGTAATCTGGAACTCCTGGCCTCGTGATCCACTTGCCTCGGCCTCCCAAAGTGCTGGGATTACAGGTGTGAGCTACTGCGCTCAACCTACTGATATCATATAAACTTTTGAAGAATAAAATAAATAAAACTTCGTCTCCCTGTTACTTTAGAGGCTCATCATAAATTTCATTATAGGGGCTGGGCGTGATGGCTCACACTTGTAATCCCAGGACCTTGGGAGGCGAATGTGGGAGCATTGCTTGAGGCTAGGAGTTTGAGATCAGCCCAGGCAACACAGCGGAACTCTGTCTCTACAAAAAAGTAAAAATTAGCCAGGCAATGGCGGAACAAGCCTATAGTCCCCGCTACTTAGGAAGCTAAGACAGGAGAATTAGGGGATCTCTTGAGCCTAGGAGTTCAAGGCTACAACTATAATTGTACCACTGCACTCTAGTCTGGGAGACAGAGCAAGACCCTACCCCTAAGGGGGAAAAAAAAAAAAAAATGAAAAAAATTTCATTACAGGGAACAGGGAAGAAACTTTTTTCTTTTTTATAGATAAAGTCTCATTCTGCCACCTAGGTGGGAGTGCAGTAGCACAATCATGGCTCACTGCAGCCTCGACCTCCTGGGCTCAAGTGACCTTCCATGCCTATGCTAGGACTATAGGCATGAGCTACTATGACTGGCCTAATAGTTCCTTTTTTTGAGACAGAGTCTCGTTCTGTCACCCAGGCGGGAGTGCAGTGGTGCGATCTCAGCTCACTGCAACCTCCACCTCTTGGGTTCAAGCAATTCTCCTGCCTCAGCCTCCAGCATAGCTGGAATTACAGGTGTGCACCACCACGCCCAGCTAATTTTTGTATTTTTAGTAGAGACCGGGTTTCACCATGTTGGCCAGACTGGTCTCAAACTCCTGACCTCAGGTGTTCCACCCACCTCGGTCTCCTAAAGTGCTGAGATTACAGGTGTGAGCCACCGTGCCTGGCCTGGTCTAGCAGTTATTAATCTAAGCACTATAATTATACAAATATCAATATGGTTCCCAACCCTCATAAAACCTAACAGTTTTTAAAGCTACAGGAGTTAATACATGGATAGTAAGAATTCAACACAATAACAGAAATTGTTTTAAAGTTCAAGATTAGTATTTCTGTATAAATAGCTACTGTATATGGAGGAGGCTCATAACCTGATAGTCCATCTATGGTAGCTATTCATATTAATATACTAGCTCTGAACTAGTTTTGTAAAGAAAGAACAACATGACAATGGAGGTTTTATGCAATCAGAAATAAGTTTTCTTTGGATGGGCTTTTCAAAACTAAAAACTACAATAATTTCCTAACTATCCCATCTCACCAAGAATATCTGATTGAAAAAGTGTACATTCCTACCTTTTCACCCCTACTCCCAAGTAAACTTATCTTTGTCATTAGAGTTTAAATATTCATTAACTTCTTTACCTTCTTTCCTTTCTTTTTCTTCTTTTTTGAAAGTTTAGTTCCAAGGGTGAAGACTGGCTCTAAAGAGTCCACTATATCAAGGTCCCACACTTCAATAACAGGGGTCATGTTTCCTACAGCAATGTAATTTCCTATGGGAGGAAATAATGCACGTATGATTACACAAAAAAAGACATACAGAACTTCTAATCAAATACATTACATTGTAGGTTAACTGAAAAATGCTTTAAAGCAGTACTTCTCAAACCTATATGCAAATGCAGCATCTGAATGTTGTTAAAATGCAGATTGTAGGCCGGGTGTGGTGGCTCACGCCTATAATCCCTGGCACTTTGGGAGGCTGAGGTGGGTGGATCACCTGAGGTCGGGAGTTTGAGACCAGCCTGACCAACATGGAGAAATCCCGTCTCTCCTAAAAATACAAAATTAGCCGAGCATGGTGGCACATGCATGTAATCCCAGCTAGTCAGGAGGCTAAGGCAGGATAATCGCTTGAACCCAGGACGCAGAGGTTGTAGTGAGCTGAGATCATGCCACTGCACTCCAGCCTAAGCAACACAGCGAGACTGTCTTAAAAAAAAAAAAAAAAAAAAAAAAAAAAAAAAAAAAAAAAAAAAAAAAAAAAAGCAGACTTATTTCAAGTAGTTCTAGGCAGGCAGTTCTAACTAGCTCATGGGTGATGCCCAGGCTGTGCTGCTGCTGGTCTTTGGCCCATAATTTTGAGTAACCAAGGCTCAATCTCTTGGCCTCAGTGTTCTCACTTATATAATGAGAACAGCCCTCCTCCTTTCCTCCTTCACAGGGTGCTATGGGAATGAAGATCAGATCAGATCAGATCATGAACATGAACAAGGTTTGCAAACAGGATGTAAGATAGTATAATCAGTGTTTACCTTTATTAAAAAGTACAGACAGGGTCAACTAATAGAGTGCAGATTTGGTTACAAAGACTAACATGAAAACCTAATCACTTGTCACGAGCCTCCTCATTTCGATTTTACCTTATGTTTTCTAAAACAGTTTACGCCCCTGAACTCTAGCTGGTAACACCTGACACATCTTACTATTTAAACTGAGACTTTATGGGAACTTTACAGCTCTACAGTGCAAAAGGCTTTCAGGTCCTGTCCTTCAGCCTATAGTACAGCAGCTACCTCCTCAGCTGATCAAAGTCTGGGGATTTATGGATCCCAAACAATAAAGTGATGGTGTGTTAAGAACTACTTAACTTCATAAAATAACAGTAAACTAAGAAAATATCAGCAACAATTCTGAAAACGTTCAAGAGAATAATTTATAGATCTAGGAGAAAATTAGACCGGAAATCATTGAGCAACCTTAAGTTTTGTAATTACCAGTAGAATCATCTGGGCTAGGATCAAAATTCAGCCATTCCACACTCAGAGGATATGCAGACAAGAGTATATCATGGTGTACATAAAAGGAGTCTTCTTCTTGATTATAAACTGAAAAGGTTGGGAAAAGAGACTTTAGTGCATCAAAACAAGTCATCAAAAATCACATCCCACTCCTGCCTGGCGGACAGAGAGACTGTCTCAAAAAAAAAAAAAAAAAAAAATTCCCATATCATGACTAGGCAAAAATTTTGCATGTCTAATATAGTCTCATCTTCTGGCATACTCCATAGGAGAAAATGAACACTGACATCTGATACTCCACCTGCATCCTTATCAGATATACAGTCCTGTCTTCTAGCTCATTCATAGAAAACAAATGCTCATAAGGTCTCCACAAGAAGTACTTATTATTTTATCTTCTAAAGGTCTAGCTGATTATAAGTCAAAAAGAACAAACCAAAAATAGCACTGCAGAGAAATAATTCATATTTGGAATCTAAATGCTTGTCAAAAATTACTTTAATATTTTTAAAAATGGTTTATGAAGACGAACAATGCAAACAAAGCTCCTGAGGAAACCCTTTTGGAATATGGCAACTAACAGAGTTAGCTCCTTAATATTAACAGCTATAATGTTAAGCAGCAAAAACACTGTCAAATCAATGACTAAGAAGTCTTTTAAAAGTTACACAGAAGGGTAGGCGTGGTGGCTCACGCCTATAATCCCAGCGCTTTGGGAGACTGCGGCAGGCAAATCACAAGGTCACGAAATCGAGATTATCTTGGCTAACACAGTGAAACCCCGTCTCTACTAAAAATACAAAACATTAGCCAGGTGTGGTAGCACGTGCCTGTAGTCCAAGCTACCCGGGAGGCTAAAACAGGAGAATAACTTGAACCCAGGAGGGGGAGGTTGCAGTGAGCCTTGCACCACTGCACTCCAGCCTAAGGGACAGAGCGAGACTCTGTCTCAAAAAAAAAAAAAATTCACAACAGAACCCACTAATCAGAACCCTTCCCCATATGCTTTTTATTAAAAAAGAGGTAAATATAAAACAAGCTAAGGATTTTATTTTTAATTCCTCAGATCTCTGCTTCTGGAATACATCCTGGGATTAGCAGATTTGTGTAATGTTCTACACATCTCTATAAAGAGAATTCATGTTCAAAATTATTAGACTGTAGTCCTACAAAACCCTCGACCATGTTCAATGTATTCAGCTTACATTTTACATAAAATGTAAAATGGTGATAATACTTTAAAACATACTCTTAACCATGTGAGATAAATATTTGGATCAGTGTTAGAATATAAATTTGAAGTTATTCTTGCACAGATATGCTGGGCAATTTGGAGATTCCTTCCAAACTGAAATAATGAAGTATATTTATAATAACCTAACTTAGAAGGAACTGGAAATACAACAGCCTTAACTTCTTTCTCAGCTCCTCTTTGATCCTGAGTTCAAAGGAATGACTATAAGTTCTCAGATAAGAATGCATAAAAAAATCAATAATGACTAAAAAACTATAAGGTCTCAATTTTTTGGAATTAGAATTGGTCTTAAAAGCAAAGTAAACAAGTGGTTTTCATTTGAAATATGTAAAAGTTCAAAGATATCAAGAGTTAGAAAGAATAATTTCACATTAAAGTGCCTGCTATTTAAAGCCTTTTTAAGAAAGACTGCATAAGAGGACCACAATGAGCCACGGGATAAAATGGGCCTCATCTATAGGCTTCCCACTGGCAACCTTAAAGATTCTGAAGAGTTACAGAAATCCAAAAGTTAATCAATGGAAGCTGCGATGAAGCAACCTAGAAGATGCCAATAAACATTAAGCCTAAGGGTTTTATTTTTTTCAAACTGTGCAACTGTGTTTCCTATAACAAAGGATTTATCAGCCTAATAATCTCTTTGAATCTTCAAAGTTTCAAGATGATCTGAAGACTGCTGGAGGAGGAGAGTATCTGGGCAGGGATGGACTTGTCTGAGGATATGAGCACAGTGGAAGGGGCAAAAAAACAAAAGGGAAAATCTGTAGGGAGAGTGCTCCACACATTGTGGAAGTCTACTTTCAGCATATAAAAAAATAAATTTTACATTAAAAATACCCAAGTGAGGCCGGGCGCGGTGGCTCACGCCTGTAATCCCAGCACTTTGGGAGGCCGAGGCGGGTGGATCACGAGGTCAAGAGATCGAGACCATCCTGGTCAGCATGGTGAAACCCCGTCTCTACTAAAAATACAAAAATTCAGCTGGGCATGGTGGCGCGTGCCTGTAGTCCCAGCTACTCAGGAGGCTGAGGCAGGAGAATTGCCTGAACCCAGGAGGCGGAGGTTGCGGTGAGCTGAGATCGCGCCATTGCACTCCAGCCTGGGTAACAAGAGCGAAACTCCGTCTCAAAAAAAAAAAAAAAAATACCCAAGTGAGGTAAGCCATTCAATCAACGTTTATTAAATCAAAAATAGCAACATTTAAAAGTATTATTTAAAAATTCCTATTTTCATGCCTGCTTCTGATTACTGCAAAGCATTCACTTCTGGCTTTGATACAAATATTCCTTGAAGTGGGAAAGACAACTAAGATATTTTGGTTCCAAAAGAGAAATACGGCCTTTTGTGTTGAATTATTATGAGGAAAATAAAATGTTCTGCAAAGGGGAAATATCTGAAATAACTCTATTTAAAAAACATGAGAAAAACCTGTCCATCCGGTATAATCCACATAAAGAAAAAGTGGCCAGAAAAAAAATTAGGAGTAAAAAACCAGGTGAGAAGTTATTAACTCTAGGAAATAGAATTATACATTTTTCTTTTCTTCTCACCGAGATGGGCTTTGTCACCCAGGATAGAGTAAAGTGGAGCAAACATAGGCTCACTGCAGCCTAGAACTCATGGGCTCAAGTGATCCTCCCGCCTTAGCCTCCCTAGTCCTCAAGTAGCTGGGATTACAGGCATGTGCCACCAGGTCCAGGTAATTTAAAAAAATTTTTGTAGAGACGGTCTCACTATGTTGCCCAGGCTGGTCTCAAACTCCTGGGCTCAGGCAATCACTCCTATGAAAAATTTCCAGGGGACTTATTTCCATAAAAAATTCAGATACCAAAGTATCTACTGGACTATACATGCCCCCAGAACAATAAACAAGAAATTGGCCACCTGTGTAAAGTTTACTTAAATGAGATACAATAGGATTTGGCACCTAAAAATGAAATAGTAACTATTTCATTTATTATTTTACCATCACTTAGAAAATCTTGTAGTAAGGGATTTATCACTTACCATGCACCTCTAAATTGCACTGGTCCTGTTCAGCTCGGCCACAAACTATGAGATTATCACTGGGCTTAATCAAGAAATCTTCACGTTCATATTGTTCCTAGGTGAGAGAAAACAAAAGTCATTGGCTAGAACAAGAGAGTCAGTAAGGTTTTTCAAACACTTAAGAGCATAATTAGAAAAACGATGTAAATATTTACCGTATCTTTCAGAGTAACGTAAGGATCCTGATCATTACTGCCGTAGACTGTAAGACCCAAGAGAGATTCACCAAGAGTCTCAGCATCTGTAAGAAAAATTGATAAATTAAAATGAATAAAATAGTCATCTTGACAAAAACATTTTTTCTGTGACATCCATTCTTGGACTTAGATGCAACCATCTATAACTAATTCTGGATCATCCAGAATTGGGAAAAAAAGTACGTAAGAAGCAGCAGGAATTTAAAAGCTATTTGTATTTGACTTTTGGAGTGCATTTCAGATAGTCTCGGAATTCACAATCTTCATATAAAGAATTGCATCAGAGCATTAGACCCTTTTCGAAAATATTAGAACTCTCTTGAGATTCTCTGGCTCCTTGCAGTCATGACTGAAGGTGCTACAGAGAGGCACTCTTGAGGACCTGGAAGTAAAATGACCCTGAAACATGAAATCAACACAATAAATAAGGACTGCCTGGTAAAAACAATCGAGAAATGATGTGTTTCAAAAAATTAACCAGGTTGCTTTACTGCACATGTTCTCAGAACTGCTGATAGCCCATAGACCTTATTAGCATATGAAAAATATGCACAAGAAATACTGTATGCCTTTTCCACTAACTTACTTGAAAATGAAATTATTCTTTTATGGCACATCTACAAGGGTAACAAAGGATAACTCAGGAAAAGGAAGATACACTAAATTGTTAGAGAAAGCCACTTTAAGGAGGCAGGACTGATGTCTTAAACATCTGATATGCAACAGAGAAAGCAATTTCTGCTACCTGAGAAAGAGCTGATTCTGAATGCCATCTCTCCAGGCTGGGTTAGCTCTTTGTTTCTCTGTAAATTCACAGCACTCTGTCCCTAACAAGGTTGGAGCCCACAACCCAGAGTCAAATGGAAAAAACTATCCTCTGCTGGATTGTATCTATAGAAAAGATGCAGTGAAAAGAATGAAGGCTTTAGAGCCAGAGAGTGGTCAAAACTAAGCACTTTCATGAGCTATGTGTAAATGGAGGTAATGATTCCTTTCTAAGTAATGCAGATAAAGAAAAATGAGGTTAATAGTAATCCATAGGACAGATGGCCAAGGGAATGAGGAAAAAAGAGGAATACACATCTAGATGGAAAAATGGGTAAGTGACAATAAAATTCAATATAGATGGAGTAAAAAAAAATCAGGGTTACTTCTTGTCTGAAGGAAAAGAAGTACACTAGCGATAATAAGATGGAAACTAGAGGTACCAATTCTGGAAGAAAGTTCATCCACCAGGATGATGCAAAACTCCCAGCTACCACTGTAACCCCTTTCTTCCCTGTCCTCCTCCTCATTCTTAGTGCCCCAAGCCAGGCCCTCTTTGCTTCTGGCCTAATTTAAGTTTCTGCTCCTCTAAAAAGAGATTCACACTATCTCCCAACCTATTCTCCACTGCTGCCTGAGTTAACTTCCTAAGGGCATGTTCAATTATCATGTGTTCCATGCTCAAATACCTTTAATGATTTCCCCCACACAGAACACACAGATTGCTAAGCCTGGTCTTCTAAGTCTACTGGGACCTGATAAGTCTTTCTTCCAGACTTCACAGCAACTCCCCACCCACCTTCTCTGTTTCACTCATACAGATCAACTTACCGAGCATTTCCCTCCTTTGGGTCTTTTTCTAAGCTCTTCCTCTCCCCATCACACACATTGGGCCAAGCTCAACATTGCTCTGGCACTAAAGGCTTCCTATAGTTTGTCACATTCCACAAAATTTTCCTCTTACTTGGCTCAGGTCTACCTCCTCAAGGTTATCTACAGTCCTCAAATATGCCCGCCTGAGGCATCCAGGCCAAGTCTGCCGATTGACTTTGGTTAATCCCACCTCCACTCAGAACCTACTCCCTCATTTCTCATTGCCTGTCCATTGTTTACTGATTGTCCTGTGTCCAACACAGACCATGTCTCATGTCCTATTCTTCACGCACTCCAACCACACTGCTCTTCCCGATACCCCACAGTGCTCACCATCAACCCGTGCGTGTCTGATTTTAAAACTTTGTATTATAGAATTTCTTTTTTTTTTGGAATGGAGTCTTGCTTTGTCACCCAGGCTGGCGAGCAGTAGTGAGATCTCGGCTCACTGCAACCTCTGCTCCCGGATAGCCTCCCAAGTAACTGGGACCACAGGCACCTCCACCATGCCCAGCTAATTTTTGTATTTTTAGTAGAGATAGGGTTTCACTCCATATTGGCCAGGCTGGTCTCAAACGCCTGACCTCGTGATCTGCCTGTCTCGGCCTCCCAAAGTACTGGGATTACAGGCGTGAGCCACCACACCCAGCTGTAGAATTTTTGAAAAATGAAAATAAGTAGAGAGGGCATCATGAACCTTGTATCACCTCACTTTAACGATTAACATTATTTTCTGAATATCACTTTCAGCCCTCCCTCTCCCCATCTCTGGAGTTTTTCAAATTGAATCCTTGAAAGTATATTATTTTTACTCAGCATTTCAATGATACTCCTAACAGATACGGTCATTTTTAAGTGCCTAATTATAATTGCTGTAAGACTTTTTAAAACTTTTATTATTTAGACATGGAGTCTCACTCTGTTGTCCAGGATGGAGTGCAGTATCGTGATCATAGTTCACTGCAGCCTTGAACTCCTGGGCTCGGGCAATCCTGCTGCCTAAGTGCCTCATGCAGCTGGGATTACAGACATGAGCCACCATACTCAGCTCTGCTATGACTTTCTTATGTAGTATTTCAACCATCAATTTAACAGGTAGCTGTGATTTAACAGGTAATTGTGATTCTACTTTGTCGCAGATAACATTTGTACTAAGGGTTAATTTCTGTTTCAGATCATCTACATTTTATAACTTGGGAGTAGCTGATTCTAGCTGTCAAGAGTCTCTTCAGCTCCCAGGTCCGCAGACTAACTAGGATTTACAAGTTAAATAACTTATTTCACCTACTCAGTGTGCCAAATGCCTGTTTCTCAAACTCTTAAGATTTGGGGTTAGTGCCACCTAGTGTAGCACATTCCAAAAGAAACAGAGAGCTTATCCAGCTTTTGTCAGCCCCTTTTCCAGTTATCTTTTTTTTTTTTTTTTTTTTTTTTTTTTTTTTTTTTTTTTTTTTTTTTGAGACAAGGTCTCACTCTGTCGCCCACGCTGGAATGCACTGGTTCGATCTCGGCTCACTGCAGCCTCCACCTCCTGAGTTCAAGAGATTCTCCTGCCTCAGCTTGTCAATTAGCTGGAATTACAGGTGCATGCCACCACACCCAGCTAATTTTGGTATTTTTAGTAGAGATGGGGTTTCACCTCATGTTGGCCAGGCTGGTGGTCTCAAACACCTGACCTCAGGTGATCTGCCCACTTCGGCCTCCCAAACTGCTGGGATTACAGGCGTGAGCCGCCGCACCGGGCCCATTAATCTTTATACTTACTTTCCCCGGAAGAGCACTATTGTTGTCATTGCAGCTCACTTTATTCCCCCACAAGGCTTTCTATAAACTTCCGCTTATCATCTGTCTTCTGCTCTATTTCCTTTTTCTCTTCCCACTCATGATTTTTTCTTATTGAGATGGATTCTCACTGTGTTAACCAGGCTGGAGTGCAGTGACACAATCTCGGCTCACTGCAACTTCCACCTCCCAGGTTCAAGCAATTCTACTGCCTAAGCCTCCTGAATAGCTGGGATTACAGGGGCCTGCCACCACGCCTGGCTAATTTTTAGTAGAGACACTGTTTTGCCATATTGGCCAGGCTGGTCTTGAACTCCTGACCTCAAGTAATACAGCTGCCTCGGCCTCCCAAAGTGCTGGGATTACAGGCATGAGCAACCGTACCCAGCCCCTTTTTCTAATTATCTCCAACAATAGCATCTCACAATGCATACAGTAGTCCCCCCTTATCTATGGGGGATACATTCCAAGACCCTCAATGGTTGTCTAACACTGCAGATAGTATCAAACCTTATATACATTGTCTTTTCCTATACTTACCTAGGAATCAAATAGTTATACTGTAATAAAAGTTATGTGGAAGTCATCTCTCTCAAAATACTGTACTTTACTTACTCATTTTCAGACCGCAGTTGACTGTGGCTAACTGAAACCAAAGAAAGCAAAACCGTGGATAAGGGGGATCTTCTGTATTCTGAGAAAACTGACTGCAGTTGAGGAAAAGGTATATGGATATCAGTTCAAGCACACCACAGCACAATTGCATAAAGGAACTCACAAGCGGGTTACAGATTATTAAACCTGATAGATGCAATAAAATACACAGTACTTTGTTTTTTTTTTTAGATCCTAGATGTATATCTTAGATTGGTGGGTTAGAGCTTATCCTCTAAACTAGTTTAGGAATCATGCCCTCTGCCCAAGTCTTTAACCAGATTATCTTACTGATGTCAGGAACAATAAAATCTCAAAGTAAAGCTTTGGAACACCACAAACATGACCCAACACACTGAGCTTATAATTACAAACCAGAAGGGGATAAACTCTAACCTGGGTCACCTTCCTCATCGTATTTATCCAAGTCGTACTCAGCCAGCTCATCATCATTGAGGGTCCTGTCATCCTCCGCGTCACCATCCTCCAGGGGCTCTCTTGGGCGTGCTTGGGTGCGTGCACTCTGCATGCCATCTTCTGAAGGACTGCCTGTCTCCTCTTCATCACTGCCACCTTCTTCTCTGTCAGCACACACACATAAAAGAGAATTACCCAAGTGGTACCTTCCAATAACAACACCACCTCGTCATCATGATTTAAGGTGTAGATTTCATCTGGTCCTAAACTTACTGCAACTTCTCCTTTGCCTCAGCAATGAGTCGTTTTACTTCTTCTTTATTCAGCTCTACCTGTGAGAGAGCAAACATTTCATTACAATATATGTAAGGAAATCATTAGAATTCTTTGAATTAAAAAGTAGTTTGCAAACGAATGTAAAATGTAACATCACGCAATGTAATCAAGAATCAAACATCAATCCATACACTACATTAAAAAATATAGATGTTTTAGATCCTTACAATTAAGATCCCTCCCCATCTGAAACTTCAAAAATCATGCTCATTCTACTCTACCTCTCACTCAGTCTTAAAACCCCAAGACTGATTTTGTTAAAGTGGTTCTGTGGTACCCATTTGGTTTTCTTCCAGCTATCTCTGACTCCGTGTAGGGCTCTCTTCCCTGACTCCCTCTCTTCCCTGTGGACATTGCTTAACAAACCACCCTTGCATTAGTCCTCTGTTCTTTTGCCTATTATAACTGCCACACAGTCACTTATCTGGCTCATGTCCTTGCAAAGTTCATTCATTCTCAAGACTAAAACTACCACCTCTGAACGGATTACTCCAAACTTTCTTCCTCTAATTTGATATTCCAGTTCCACTTCTCCAACTGCCTATAAAACTTCCCACCTGAACATCCTTTATCCTAGTATTACCAAATTCAAAGCTGACGTCACTCTCTCTACTTCAAAACTGGAGTTCCCTCACCTAATCAATGCTCCAGTACCTTTTAAAAACACCCCGATCACAGCTGGCTGCAGTGGCTCACACCTGTAATCCCAGCACTTTGGGAGGCTGAGGTGGGAGGATTCCTTGAGCCCAGGAGTTTGAGACCAGCCTGGGCAACACTGGGAAACCCCCATCTCTATAAAAAAATTAAAAAATTAGCCAGGCATGGTGGTACGCACTGTAGTCACCTCAACAGACAGAGGCAGTCGGACTGCTTTGAGCCCAGGAGGTTGAAGCTGTAATAAACCATGATTGCGCCACGGCACTGCAGCCTGGGTTATAGAGCAAGACTCTACCAAAAAAAAAAAAAAAAAATCCCTATTAAAACGGAACTGTAAACTCTTTGAAGACAGAAACTGGCTTGTCATTGTATAGTTCAGTGCCTGGCCCGTGATAGTGATGCGTAATGACTGATAAATAAATCAATCACCTAGTTTCCACTACAATGCCTCTAGTAATATGAAAATCCCCTTAAGAATTCTATTGTGGGATAGCTCTAGAAATTAAAGGTTGTTTAATTAAAAGCTACTTAGTTGCCCAGTTTCTTTTAATTTTTAAGAGATGTGGCACAGGCAGTAATAGCTCCCTGCAGCCGTGAACTCCTGGGCTCATGTGATCCTCTCACTTCAGCCTCCTGAGTGACTGGGATCACAGGCACGAGCCACCACAAATGGCTTGTCCAACATCTCTTAGTTGGTCCAAGTTTTTCTTTCTGGGATTTCATAAAATAAATTCAATCTCTTCTTCCTATAAGCTGTTCAATTTACTGATTCCCTAACATGTCTGGGAATCTTAAAAATTTTAGGGTACCCTCCAGACTAATTACAACGCAAATACTTGGGAGTGGGACATAAATATCAGTATTTTTTGAACCTCCCCAAGTGTTTTCAATGTGTAGATTCATCTGGAAATCACTGTCTTCAAGTACTTGACAGGCTATACGTCTCTTTCTAATAACGGTTTCCTCCAACAATTTTTATATGAAATAATTTTCTGTTCCTATTCTACACACACACACACACACACACACACAGTGCTTACCATCAACCAACCCTGGAAAACAGTGGTAAATAAAACACAGTCCATGCCCCGGTGGAATTTACAACTACTGGGACTACTCCAATCCCTCCTTCCTGTTAACTCCATCTCCAAGCCACACTCCTGTCACCATCATCATTATCTTAGTCAATTACATTCAAATCAACCCCTGTACTCTTTGAGCACTTACTCCCACTGACATACTACATGTGCACATATCAGTCACATAAAAGCGGGGACTTTTTCTGTTTTGTTCATGTCTATCCCAGGACCCTGAACAATGCCTGGCCTACAGAAAGCACTTAGAATCCAATGAGTAAATTACTTAAGTAATCTTCACCTGTGCTACGGTCTTAAGTCTCCAACGCCTTTAGGTTTTTCACGTGTTACAATTACCTCTCATCCTCACTGCCACCATCAACAGCTCACTTGGATTACTGCAAAAAATTCCGAATTCACCTCCCAGTCTCACGACATCTTAGTTTCCACACCAGTTTTCTACAGCAGTCATCCTCACTCCTTCAGACACCCAGCACAGGAGTGGAAAGTGGAGTTTTCATGCTCTTTTCCCAGTTTTGCTTGAAGATGCACTGGGGTGCGAGTGAAACTGTGGTGTTGCTAAAAAGCCTTTTGGGGTATTTCCCACCAAAAGCAGCAGCTCACCGCTTTCCAACCAGCGAAGTCCACGTGCGTGAGAATTGGTCTGGGCTTGAGGGTGGGGATAGTGAGGAAGCGCGGTCCCTGACTCCCCACGCTCAGGCGAACCAGACCCTTTGAGCTGCAGCTCTAGTTGCGACAATCCGGGCAAAGCCGGCCTCACCCCAGCCAGTTGCGCCAGCCACCACCCTGAGTTCTGGGTCCACGTTCCCCCAGCGGGGCAGACCAGCCGTGCCGTAAAGAAGCCGCTCCCCTTATCTCCCAGCGACCAGGCCTCACCTTGTCTGGCATCTCTTTGGCCACGCCACAGCGGACCCAGGCCACGCACGTCACCTGGCGGCTGCGGTTCATGGTTCTCAGCTCAAGGGCACGTCAGGCTAGAAAACCGACCTTAGCGGGAGGGACCACCGCAGTGCCGCAGCCGCAAGCCTCGGGTTTTGCGCGGGGCCGCTGCCCTCAGAGCGCATGCGCCGACTTTAGCTCGTTCAGCGTTGGCACTCGTTTCTGACGTCATATGGAGACGCCGAAGGGAAAATGGGAGGGGACACAATGGAAGCGGAAGCGGCCGGGCGAGGAATCCACGTGGGGTGGGCTGGGCTGTGTTGAGTATCGAGAGAAGGCTTTTCAGGACTGCCTGTGACGATGCCTGCGGGCGTTGTAAAAGCAAAGAAAATATTTGAGACTGTAGGGGTCAGTCAGAAGCAAAGTCCCACCAATCTTTATTTTGCTTGCAGTTGTTGTAGACTTCAAGCTGACAAATGGTAGAGGTTTGTAGTTTGCTTTTTTTTTTAAAGCTTTCTCCAAAATTAATTTGTTTTTTCACGGAGATCCTACCATACATTTCATTACATTCCTAAATGTTACTTTCTCACCTTGAAACATTTAACACCTATTATATACTAAGTATGCGGTAGTGATTTAATATTGGCAAACACGAAGTGCTTGTTACATTGAAGGCGCTGTGTATATTCACGTGATTACTTATCCCGTTATGAGAGGTCTTATTTCCATGTTACACAAGGGAAACCAGCGATCCTTCCCAAGATTACACTGCTAGTAAGGGGTGTAGCTGGGATAGTCACCCAGGCAGTGTGACTCCCTTGTATCTATGTCATGCTTCTCAGCTAAGATCGGTCATCAGGTAGAATTTGTGAGTGGCTAGACGACTATAGAATGGAAAGTCTCAAACTAGCATCCCAGAAAAACTCTGGGTTTTGATCTCTTTCATGGCTGTGTGGCCCTGTCCTGGTCATTTACCCTCAATGCATCTACCTTTGAGAGAGGCAAGCAAAAGGAACAGGAAGGTGGCTGCTACGGTGAAAAGTGGCCAGGGTAAACTGTACACATGGTCTTCCCCAGTCGCATTGTCAAAGTGGGGGTGTCCACCTGTGGGCTCCATTTGGGGACCTTTTTGCAACACATTTATCTTTATAACCAATACTTTACCTGGTTCTCACAACACTTTGTTTTAAAGATGAAGTTATAGAGTCCCCAAATACCTTCCCACTCTGAGATTAAGGCATACAGGAGCTGATACAATTACAAGTTCTGTCACCAACTCATGTGCCTGTAATCCCAGCTACTTGGGAGGCTAAGGCTAGAGAATTCCTTGAACCCAGGAGGCAGAGATTACAGTGAGCCGAGATGGCGCAATTGCACTCCAGCCTCGGTGAAGAAGGCAGACCCCATATCAAAAAAAAAAAAAAAAAAGTAACTTTTTATTCCAAAGCTAGCTTAAGGGAAGAAGTATAGGCTTCCTGCCTTAAGGGTACCGCTTCACTTCTGGGGCAGAAAGCTAGGGCTTTTAAAGGCGGATGTGGCATAAATGGCATGCATGGGAGGGGGCAGTAGGGGCCTATGTGACTTGCTTCAGTGCCTTATCTACTAGATGGTTGAACTGGCACCTTCGCGGGCAGAACTAAGTTGTAAAAATGGCCCTTGTCTCCTGATACTCTCCAGGCGAGACAGCGTTTTGTAGGAGACACAACTTGGTTGTAAATTGACTGTCGTCTCTCAAGGCAGTCTTCCTGGTGGGAGAGATTTCCACTCCGGAGAATCTAAGCTCATAGTTAGATAAGGTTGCCCTGTAGAGAGTGTCTGGTGAAGAGAAGGTAAAAGGTGATAATTGCATTTCTAAAGAGCTAAGTAGGAGGTGGGGAACAGGGGAAAAGGAGAAAAGAGAAAATAACGAAATTTAAAAAAATAACTCATTCTCTTAAAAAAAATGGGGTGCCTGGTTACAACTCTGTCATCCAAGCTGGAGTGCAGTAGCATGATCGTAACTCACTGCAGCCTTGAACTTGGCCATTTTTAAGAGTATAATTTAGGCGTAGTAAGTACTAAATCACTAAGTTTTGAGGTCATCTTTTAAATGCAGCAATAATAACAAGCAGGTGAGAACTGTGCTGTATGAACTGATTTATTAGCAGAGCTGATTTATGAAGTCCTGGTGAGGCTTATGTGGGCTCACCTGGTAGACAGGAATGGGCTTAGGTTTGAGTATTTGACCCTAGGTCTTTTCCCCACGTGGGCCACCCTCTTATGGGCCAGCTTCTGCTCCATGATGCCCAGTCCCCTCGGGTTTGCTGTCACACCCAGCACGGTGTCTGCTGCAGCGTGGGCTCTTGATAAATATTAATATTTGTCAAATGAGTGAAAAAATTAAATAATAGAAGGTAGGCTAGGACTCCAGTTATTTTGGGCCTGCTAAGCTCAGCCTCTTTTACAGGACGTATTTCTGACATTCTGCCACTTCAGCCCAAGCTGTGAATTCCCTTTAAAAACGAAAATCCCAGGGCAGCAGGTATTATTAGTTCCTTATAATGAGAATTGAAAGAGATTGAGCTTAAGTAGCCCTGTTTCTAAGCCTGATTGTTGGGAACTAATGAACATATTTAACTCAGAAAAGTCTCTTTGCCAGAGGCCAGAAAAAATGTTGTCTGTGGCATGTTGGCTATTCTCAGTTAAAGGCCCCAGAGGATTGAACTCTGGGCCATGTCAGGCTTTTGTTACACCCTCAGCTCAGTGTCATCTGTACTTAGGCTCATAAACATTTTTTCTACATGGCCTTTGGTGCTGGGAAGGAAATGAAGCCTACGGTACCCTCCTACGCCTTGCACGAGGCTCTCTTTCTTGCTCCTCCTCTAGCTGATAAGGAGTGGGAGAAATAATAGCTACCAGTTACCAAGTGCTGGAGTCATACACCATGAATAGATTAGGCAGTCACAAAATCAGGAGTACAAAATGGAACTTGATTTTTCTAGAACTCAAGTTAATTTGCATTTTCACAAGGACGAGAGCCATGAGGGTCTTGTTACCACAGTATTTGCAACACCTGGCAGAGTGCCTGGCACAGCAAATGCCAGTAAATATTCATTGAATAAATGAATAATATTAGACTTCTAAACTGAAGTTTAAAGACATTAGGAAGGCTAGGCGTGGTGGCCCATGCCTGTAATCCCAGTACTTTAGGAGGTCAAGGTGGGTGGAACTCCTGAGGTCAGGAGTACGAGACCAGCCTGGCCAGTGAAACCCATCTCTACTAAAAATACAAAAATTAGCCGGGTGTGGTGGCGCGTGCTTGTAGTCCCAGCTTCTCGGGAAGCTGAGGCAGGAGAATCACTTCAACTGCGGAGGCAGGGGTTACAGTGAGCCGTGATCGTGCCACTGCGCTCCAGCCTGGATAATAGAGCAAGACCGCGTCTCAAAAAAACAAACAAAAAAAAGATATCAGGAAACTTGCCCTGTGTTATATAGTTAGTAATGGCAAGACAGTACCTTGACTCCTGAGATAGGATCCTGTCTGTCACGCGGCACAAGTTTTCTGGTAGAGTTGCTCATCAGTTCATTCATTCACTCCTTCATCTTTCAGGACTCTATTGAATGCGAGTGACCGCTAACCAACTCCAGTTGCCTTAGGCAAGAAACAGAATTTACATACTTGGATAGCTCAAGAACCTACTAACATAAATAATGTCAGACATAGCTGGGTCTCGGGGCTGAAACCACTGTCATCAGGATTGGACCTCTCTCCCATTTTTGTCTCTGTCTTCCAATCTGTTGACTTAACTTTAAGCCGTCAGCAGCTTCAGGCTTGTCTCCTCTTCACTACCTGCAACTTCAGCAGAAAAAGGACTTACCTTTCCCTCTACTTCTCCGTGTCTCATTTGCCTCTTCGGTTCTGGAATGATCACTAGTCACTAGTCACTGTGGAGAAGGTGATGCTTTTAGCAAAGCCTGAGCCACATGCCCAGCCCTGGAGCCAGGGAGACAATTAGCCATGCAGGGAACAGAGTGTGGCAGCAAGAATTCTCTGGAGGGAACTTGGGGTGCCGCTGCGAGGAGTGGGCTGGCGAGAAGCACTTCCACTCGTGACATGCAGCGATTGTTTTCTTTGCTATCTTTATGCAGGACAGTTTGGGAGACAGGGAGCTACCAAAATGAACATGACACAGCCCTTCCCTTCACCCCAGGACTTTGTGCTCTAGCGTAGGATCAGAGGTTTATGGTCAAGGGAAAGTTAAATAAGACATCCAAGCAAATGTGGCTGTGACAGCCTGATGGGTGACTGCTTCATCCTGTTCACTGTCCAGTTGCTGGGTGGTAGCTGAGGTTTGACTATCTACCCTTCCCAGAAACAGCATTTCCTCCTCCTTGATGCCATCACCATCACCACCTGTCAGAAAGCTCCTTTCCACAGACTTAAGGAGTAGTTTTCTGCACCCTCTAGCGTCTGCGTAACCCTTCAGTGTTCAAGTGAAACTTCAACCCTATAAGCTTTCCAACTCAAGTTCTACCTTGGTTTTCTGCTCCAGTCTGTCTCCAGATGACCAGCTGTGTGGTACCAGGGTCACAGTCCCAGAGGTGATGCTAGAGCAGTGTGAATGAGGAAGAGAGAGGGCAGATGGGTGGCAGGGAGCCAGATGATGCAGTGTTGCTGTGGGTGGTTAGGGAGGTATGGGGCTGTGGGGAGCGGTGTAGGATGGTAAATGACACCACCCAACTTAGGTTTCAGGTCATTTCAGCTCCCGTGTGTGTCCTGCAGGGGTGGGGGTGGTGGGTGGGCTGAGTGAATGTGGGGAGAACTATGAGGAGGTCATTGCAGTAATCAAGGGGCAGATGGCAGTGACTTGGACAAGAGTGTTGCCTGGGTGTGGGGTCGAGGGAAGTGGAGAAAGATGCCATCTTCTGGTGGGAAGACCTGTCAGTAATTTGTGCCCACGTTTAATCTACCACAGCTGGGAAGACTAATGAGAAGAAGGAGGTGACTGATCTAAGACCACACACACATCGTGTACGTGTCAAGATCGGGGACGGAGCCTGGCTGTCTCAGCTTCAGTCCTGTGTGGTCCCTTCTGTCCCCACGCAGCCTCTTTTGGAAGGAAAGACAGAAATGTGCGCCTAGGGAAAAGTCAAGACCTTTACCACAGCCCTGGATATAATGAGGTCAATCACATCCCTGCCATCTCAAACCCCACCTGATTTGGTTTGGCTCTGTGTCCCCACCCAAATCTCATTGAATCGTAGTTCCCATAATTCCCATGTGCTGTGGGAGGGACCCGGTGGGAGATAATTGAATCATGGGGGTGGTTGCCCCATGCTGTTCCATCATAGTGAATAAGTCTCATGAGATCTGATAGTTTTATAAGGGGAAACCCCTTTCTCTTCATTCTCATTTTTGCCCTTGCCCGCTGCTCTGTAAGACATGCCTTTCACCTTGTGCCGTGATTGTGAGGCCTCCCCAGCCCCGTGTGAGTCTATTAAACCTCTCTCTTTATACGCAGTCTTGGGTGTGTCTTTATCAGCAGCATGATACCCACCTATGTGGCACTCACAGAGATTTCTGAGTGGACCGAAAAATGGACCACACTGTTCACGAGAAGCAGAGGAAGGGCGATCTCTCCCTTCGTGATGGCAGAGGAGAAAGGAGGATCTGAGCATGGTTCCTGGAATTCTACAGCCAGGCTTCAGCAGGCGTCAGTCACCATGTAGGTCAGGCTGAGTGGACACTGGTCATACGTTTGTCTTCTCCACTAGACGGTCTTATACATCTTGGCATGCCCAGGGCCTGGCAGAGAGTACACGCCAAATAAATACTTGAGAAATAAATGGAAGATGACTTCTCAGACCTTGTTAAGGATGGGATGGTGTACTTGTTTCATGGCTGTGCGATTCATCACAGAAGCAAAGTTGTTGCAGGATGATAATTACAGCTCCTAGGTACCACGTTTAGTGTTGGATCCCCATGCGTGGCACAGAGTGGGTGTTGAGTAAACATTGAATGAATGAATGGATGAGTGAAACTTCTCAATCCCTCATGTATAAGTTAGATTCACGCTCTTCCAAAAAAAAAAAAAAAGTAGTTAATTCTTTGGAACCCAAGAATGCAGAAGTGTGGCTCCACCTAGTGGACACTCCAAGGTTATGCCTGGACTTTTTTTTTTTTTTTTTTTTTTTTTTTTTTTTTTTTTGAGACACTCAGCTCTGCGGCCAGGCTGGAGTGCCGTGGCAAGATCTCGGCTCACTGCACCTTCCAATTCCCGGGTTCAAGCGATTCTCCTGCCTCAGGCTCCTGAGTAGCTGGGACTATAGGCGCGCGCCATCACGCCCAGCTAATTTTTGTATTTTAGAGACAGGGTTTCACCATGTTGGCCAGGATCTTGACCTCATGATCTGCCCGCCTCAGCCTCCTGAAGTGCTGAGATTACAGACATGAGCCACTGTGCCTGGACTATTTTTTTTTTTTTTTAAGACGGGATCTGGCTCTGTTGCCCAGGCTGAAATGCAGCAGTGTGATCCGTGTTCACTGCAACCTCTGCTTCTTGGGCTCAAGGGCTCCTCCAACCTCAGCCTCCCAAGTAGCTGGGACTACAGGTGCACACCACCATACCTGACTAATTTTTGTATATTTTGTAGAGATGGGCTTCCAACATGTTGCCCAGGCTGGTCTTGAACTCCTGGGCTCAAGAAAATCTCCTGCCTCAGCCTCCCAAAGTGCTGGCATTACAGGCATGAGCCACCACACCTAGCCCATGCCTGGACCTTGGACATTTGATTCCCACTTGCTTTGTTCTGTGTCTTCTCCAGTTGTTCCCGCTTTACCCACTTTGGCACAGACCTCCAAGTATGGCAGCGTGCCCTGCAGGTGGGCAGAAGCCTATCTGGAGCCCTGAAATTGGCAAGAAGTTGGAGGGGGCCGAGTAGACTAGATGAGTTGGCTCAGAGCTGCCAAAGCTATGCACAGGACATTGGACCAGCTGTGCAGAGGCCTGTCACTAGCTGGCTGTGTGGCCCTGGGCAGCCCACTTGCTCTCTCTCAGCCTCGCTTTTATTATCTGGGAAGGCAGAGGCTGAGATCAGACACAGCTGTGATGACTGAGCCCTTATTTGGTGCCCCTGAACTAGTTCTCAGATTCCAACACATCCTCCCATGCCTGGTGGGGACTGTTAGGCTTTAGATTAAAGAGCCCAAGGCCTCACAGCTAAGAAGGCTCAAAGCAGGAATTGAACTTGGATCTCTTTAACTCCAATGCCTGAAGAACTCTTTATATACTTTCAAGGCCTTGCTATGATTCTACACATCTTGTCGAATCTGCCCCTCTTCTTATGAGAGGCTGTATATGAAAATGGTTAAGGGTAGTGGCCTCTGGAGCGGAACTTTCTCAGTCTGAATCCTGATTCTACTTACGTATGTACTCCTGGGGTGTGTGACCTTGGGCATGTCGCTCAATCACCCTCCGTTTTGGTTTATCCATCTGTAAAATAGGAAGACGACAACAAAATGTAACTATAAAAGTTTACACATGGCCCATGCCTGTAACCCCAGCACTTTGGGAGGCTGAAGCTGGAGGATCAGCTGAGGTTGGGAACCTGAGACCAGCCTGGCCAACATGGTGAAACCCCATCTCTACTAAAAATATAAAAATTAGCTGGGCATGGTGGCAGGTGCCTGTAATTCCAACTACTCGGGAGGCTGAGGCAGTAGAATCACTTGAACCCAGAAGGCAGAGGTTGCAGTGAGCTGAGATCACACCACTGCACTCCAGCCTGGATGACAGAGCGAGACTCCGTCTCAAAAACTAAAAAAAATCAAAGTTTGCACACACTCATGGTCACTTAGAATGCTACCCAACATACCCAGTTTTTATGTTTTAACTATAAACACATATTCATACATATATGTATATAAATTTGTAAGTACTTGTATGTTTTAACTATTATTTTCTGCCTCTGAAATTTGTTGTTCCTTGTGATATAGCCTCAAAGAGCTGTAAATTTGGATCTTTAATATTATTTCCAGGTAAGGTTACATTTACAGTTACAAAGACACGCTGACAGGACTAAGGAAAAGAAACCTTCCTTCAGGTTGTACCCTACTTTAAGGCAATCCTGTCTCTAGGGCACTATGAATTAATATATAAATTGTATAAATATTGCAATTATATTGTGAATGTTACAACTGCATTGCATTCCATTGGTGGGGGGGGTAATTTCTTACATGCAAATATTTGACTTTCTTATACGCAAATATTTAAAATAAATAGAAATTTTTATAATCTTATTTTGGCCTCTTTTTGTACTTTTGTACTTTTTATTTTTTTTAGTAGATTCGGGGTTTCACCATGTTGGCCAGGCTGCTCTTGAACTCCTGACCTCAAGCAATCCTCCTGCCTCGGCCTCCCAGAGTGCTGGGATTATAGGTGTAAGCCACCACACCCGGCCTCTTTTTGCTTTTATAATTGGAGCCTCCAAAATGGATGTGACTTGGGCTTCTCTTGACCTCCCAGAAACCCTGATCTAGGCCAAAGTACTAGGACTGGAAGAAGCTAGAAACCCCAGAAATCCCCCTGTAGGGCCGATATGTCAGTACCTGAGCTCTGCTGGCATAGGGCACCCCATGATGACATAGCTAAATGGGACTGGACTTGGCTCAGGAATGCAGCACAATCTAGCTCATCCCAGACGCTGTTCATGTTGCTTTTCCTGTGGTTGGAGAAACGGTGGAGAGAGTCCTGGCCCCTATTCCTTCAATATTACTGTGAATATTCCTGTACTTTGCAGTGAATGGAGGCTCAACCCCATCTCCCAGTACGGAGCCTCTTCACCTCAGCACTGCTGACCTTGGGGCTGGATAATTGTAGGTTGTAGAGGACCATCCTGCGCAGTGTAGGATGTTCAGCAGCTTCCCTGGCCTCTGCCCACTAGGAGCACCCCATTGCCAGTCATGACAGCCACACATGTCTCTAGACATCGCCAAATCTTCCTGGGTAGAGAATCTCTGCCATAGAATAAATAGAAGAATTCATGAGGCAGGTGGTTTGCAAAACCTTGTCCAAGTCAGGTGATGAGTCTCCCTGGTCTGATACTTTGGAAAAGGCCGTGATGATATTGTGTATAGTGGTGGTTGTGTGTGCGGGGGAAAGGTTGGCCTTGTATTATCTGGATTATTGATCAGTCCTCCTTCATGCTGTGTAGTAGACAGGACCGTGGTCTTCTTTGGATGAAAAGGAACACTTTTTTTTACTACTGAAAAAGTCATGTTTCATTAATAGGATGACAGGGACATAACCTAAAGGCTGAAATCTTAGGAGCTGGGGGCCTTCTGTCAAAAGTGGTTTCTTATTATTACTTTCATACTCTCAGAGGACATGTCTAAGGAAGTCATTTCAAACTGTGACCTTTGTCTCCTAGATGCACGTTCAGAAGGCCCCTTTTAGCTGCCTGAATCCACCTGGGCTGCTCTGACAAAAATGCCGTAGACTGGGGGCCTAAACACCAATTTATTTGTCATGGCTCTGGAGCTGGGAAGTTCCAAATCAAGGCACCTGCAGCTTACGTATCTGGTGAGAGCCTGCTTCCTGGTTCATAGACTGCTGTCTTCTCACTGCATCCTTACATGGCAGTGGGGTGTGGGAGCTCTCTGGAGTCTCTTCTATAGGGGCACTAATCTCATTCATTTGGACTCCACTCTCATGAACTAAGCATCTCCCAAATACCCCATCTCCTGACACCATCACATTGATGATTATAAATTTTGGGGGACACGCTCAGTCTATAGCACAAGCCTTACAAAAACTTCCTTCTCTTTAATCCCTGTCTCTGCTCCTTCCCTTTAGTGGCCCATGTGTCCCACTTTGGACACAAGCTAGTTTTGGCAAACCTCACACGTGTGTGTGTGTGTGTGTGTGTGTGTGTGTGTGTGTTTGAGACAAAGTCTTGCTCTTGTCCCCCAGGCTGAAGTGCTATGGCACAATCTTGGCTCACTGCAACCTCTGCCCCCTGGGTTCAAGCGATTCTCCTGCCTCAGACCTCAGTCTTCCAAGTAGATGGGATTACAGGCACCTGCCACCACATCCAGCTAATTTTTGTATTTTTAGTAGACAGGGTTTCACCATGTTGACCAGGCTGGTCTCAAACTCCTGACATCAGGTGACTCACCTGCCTTGGCCTCTGAGGTGCTGGGATTACAGGCATGAGCCACTGTGCCTGGCCACATGTGTGCTTTTATAAAAAGCCCTTAATCTTCTGTGTCATCATTCTCTGGAATGGAGTGGTTTTTGTCTAATGATTGGTAAAGAAGCCATTCATAAAGTTGTCAGCAGAAACAGGTGGCTGGAAAGGGTGATTGCTTGCGCAATGTTCTAAAGCTTTTTCACAGCGTTCCCCTGGTGAGAGACAGCAGGGGAAAAAAACATCTAATGGGTAAGGTAATTTAACAGACATTCATAGCGGGCTTGAAAAACATCTCACACCTCTAGTCAGAGGAGAAATCACTGGCAATAGATGGGTGCACAAATGACTATCAGAAAATGTTTCAGAGAACATGCAGTTATTAAAATGATGTATTACAGATGAATACAAAAACATCTTAAGGATCTTATCCAAGTCCTGACCATATATATAGATTATCTTTTTTTTTTTTTTTGAGACAGGGTCTCACTCTGTCATCTAGGCTGAAGTGCAGTGGTGCAATCATGGCTCACTGCAGCCTTGACCTCCTAGACTCAAGCGATCCTCCCACTTCTCCCACTTCAGCCTCTGGAGTAGCTGAGACCACAGGTGTACACCACCACTCCCAGCTAATCTTTCATTCTTTTGTAGAGGTAGGGTCTCACTATGTTGCCCAGGCTTGTCCCAAACTCCTGGGCTCAAGCGATCCTCCTGCCTTGGCCTCCCAAAGTGCTAGGATTACAAGCATGAGCCACCATGCCTGACCCACATTGTCCTTTTCTTTTAGGTGTAGTTTCAAGTGTCTGCTGAGAGAGAGGAGCAGAAAAACCTAAGACTGTCGCAGTGACCTGGGAGAACAGAGCAGTCCTTCTCAGACCTCAGTGCTCTCAGCACTGGGTCTCTGGTTACGCAGATTCCACGGTAGTAGATCTGGAATCCGGGCTGAGACTGAGCATTCCCAGCAA